TTCCAAAATATTCGGCCTCCCTGCAACCCTAACTCCCCACTCTGCACTGAGTTGGGTTAAGGGAAGTTGCGCCTTGGGATTGACTCTCCAGGAAGGAAAAGAGTGCTTCCTTTTTCCGATCCCGATCCCGAGAACCAGCGGCAAGACTTCCTCCCCGCCCTCCTCTCCAAAAGGTTGGTGACAGCGCCCCCTGGTGGGCATCTGGAGCAACTGCCTGGGAAAGGCACAGAGGGAGGGCTGGGGCTGAACTCAGGAAGAGCAGGAACGCGGGGGTCACGTGAGGGTGAGGGTGAGGGCGGGGGTGGGGGCGGGGGGAAGAGGGGATGCCCAAAGGGGAACAGGCTTCTGTCCTGTCCAGTGTATTATTGTCGTGAAGAATCAGATCTCGCGTTATCAGGTATTCTGGTTTTTCAAGACGAGCTAGAAACTTCCCTATTGAATAAAGTAAAACCAGTAGTACAAGCCAAAGAAAACAGGACGGAGGCCAAAGTTTGGTGCCGCAAACCATCAGGAAGCCTTGATTTCTGTGGAAGAAACGCAACAGTAATAACAGCTAATCCCAGCACATAAATGAGGAGCCGCCGCGGGAGCGGCAACATGTTACATAAGACATAAAAGTCGCAACTAGGAGCACAGTGGACCAGGAGAAAAAAGAATATTCTTATTCACTCGCCTCTGAGTTGTCCCATTTTTATTTGCTTGTTATACTGATTGTTTTTTATTTCTTCTATTAACCAGCAGACATTAGGAAGTTTCAGTAAAAATCATGGGAGGAAAAACTCAAAATAGAAAACATTCTTCTTTTTATTAAGTTTCAGCACACCCCCCCCCCTCCCCAACCCAGCTCTTTGGAAGAATAAATCAGTTGCCCTAAAGGTACACACTCACCAGCTTCCAGAATACCAGTGTCCATGAGGGCATCTTTGAACTTTTTAGGGAAGAAACTCATATTTCTTAATCCAACATGCGAAGCCTGGGCAGGTTGGTGTCCCGCTGCTAATAGTCTGACCACCTCCCACGATTTCCCACGCTGTCCTGACCATCATTCCAAACTATTTTCTTTCTTCCCAGAACACCTCAGGATTTTTCAGAAAAGCCTACTTCTCTTTAAAATGCTCCTCCTCAGTTTTCCATTAAAAAACACAAACGAACGAACTATGCATTCTTCAAACGCCAGTTCGCAGGTTACCTCCCACCCAAGCCTGGTAGACATAATACCGCCCCTAAGCCTGCAGGCACAGCAGGCCACCCACACCCAACCCAAGTTTTCGAAGTTCTAAGCCGGTATCTCTAGTATAACAATCAGTTTGCTTATGTTATAATTATTTCCTTGTACCCCTTCTGAAATCTACCCACAGATACAAAGCTTTGAAAACACCTCATAGATTAGAGGCTGGTGGCCATGTTAGCTGTTTGTTTTGCTCACGCAGAGCCCAGTACCTAGCCAGACAGATGGAATAGGATCGTTAACAAATATACTTTAAAATAATGTTAATTTTGAATTTTTGGAACAAGTAATAATCTTCATGGTTCAAAACGCAAAAGATGTGAATGCGTGTAAGAGTAGAAGGTGCCCATCTCTCCCCTGTTTCCAGCCACACGGAGTTCCTCCTTATCTGTAAATAATGTTACACATTTTTTTATATCCCCTGGATGAAGTCCACATTCCTTTCTCCTCTGTGTAACTCTTTCTCCCCTCCGGGCTAGTTTATCTTCCCAGCCCTCGCTCTGCACCCAGACTTTGCCCTCTGCTCCTGCGTCTGCACGGAATTTAGCCACGTGCTCTGCCACCCTCTCCCCTACTCTCTCTTCACTTAGCAAATGTCCCTCGTCCGTCTGGCCTCAGGGTCTCTGTCCGTGGTGGGTCCCCAGTGTCCAGTGGGTGCCCTGTGTCCAGTGGGTACCAGAAACCCCCACCCCCACCTCCCCCAGCTCTTTTCTCCTGGTAACTTAACTGTTGACTGATGGGGTTCTTCACAGGCTCCTTGAGACCAGAGACTGGCCCTCAATCACTGACCCAGCATACAGCAGGGTTGGGGTGACCAGTAGTGCCCTCCCCGTGAACAGTCCTCGGCTATTGCACCTTGAGCCCCTTCTGAGCGCAAGGAAAGCTCGGGGAAGAGGAAGCACTGGTCGCGGAGACGCATGAGCTCGTGGGTATGCAGAGATGTTTCCGACTGTGGATGAGGAAAACGGCCTGGGCGTCTCTCTTGTCAACCTCTGGCCAACATTGTGAGCCACACTCCCGTCCCCGAGCCCAGGGGACTCCACACACACCTCATCTCAACGCCCAGTCCTGACCACTGCGCGTGAGGAGGACACATGCTTATTGAAGAGGCAGCTTTCACTGGCCTGGGCTTTCCAGCGGAACTGTGTGGGGGAAACTCAGGCCGGTGTCGACTTCCACATTATAGAAGAACAACCGCAGGGAGTTTCACCCTCCCGGTCCCTTTTTTCCCCTGGAGGACAGACCCCTCATCGGGACGGGGGCCAATCAGGATTTGAGGGTGGCCTTCCGACTGCTTCCTTAAGCTCTCTGAGAACTTTGCCACGGCGTTAAGGGACACTGCTTGAAGAATGACAAAACGGATGACCTCGCACCTTGGCTTGTCTATGAAAATCCTCTGTTCACCAGATCGCCTGTCTGAACGGAGCTGCGAAGGATAAACGGGCCAGACGTTAGTGAAGTCTTTTCATTCAGCAACTACTAACAGTAGTTGAGCTCCATCCGCCTTCTTGAGAAATGACAAGGCCTCCTTTTTCATCCTCATCCGAGGATATGTATTTATTGATTTTAGAGACAGCGGAGAAGTGGGGGGTGAGATGAGAGAGAGAGAGAGAGAGAGAGAGAGGGAGAGAGGAACATCAAAGTGAGAGAGAAACATCGATACCCTGCAACCTAGGTATGTGCCCTGATCGGGGATTGAACCCACAACCTTCTGGAGTACAAGAAGACGCTCCAACCAACTGAACCACTGCCCAGGGCATGACTGGGCCTTTTAGACGGAGGCTGGGGGAGTAAGCAGGAGGGGAGAGCCGGGGCGCTGTGAAAAGGCACGAGGCCAGCTGTGTCTGCTAGCTGGCGGTTCCTGAAGGGACGACTGTCCCCCCACAGAGATGGGGACACAGGCCCTGTCCTTCTCGCTGACATTGCTTCAGGTCCTCGAGAAGGCCATTTCTGCATTGCAGGCCATACACACACGTCCCCGAGGGAGGCAGGACAGATTCACCATCGTTGGCCCTTCCTAGTAGACGCTCTAAGCAAAGGCGGTCAGGGGTGTCTCTTCCCACGTCCGCTGGAACGAAGAGGCAGGCATGTCCCTGGGGTGGGGTGGGGTGGGGGCCTGGGGTTGTTACGGGACTCCAGGGGCAGGCCACTTAGGGTGCTCCATTCAAGAACGAGACTCGAGGGCCAGCCCTGGTGCCTGAGTGAGTGATTCCCAGGGCCCAGCAAAGGGATCAAGTTTCCTGAGCCTTGAAGACAAGGGGTAACACCCCAAAATACGGACCTATTTTCCACTCCACTTTCATTGGCCGAGCAGCCGCCCAGAACAAAGGCCACGTCTCCTGCTACCTGGCAAACAAATGCAGTATTGCCTCACGAATTGACTGCTTCTCTGAGGTACCCACAAGTATATCTGGGGAGAAGCTTCGAGAACAAGTGGAGGAGCGGCCCTCCTTCTATGAGACTGGAGTGATTCCACGAAAAGAGCTGGAGGTCATGAGGGAGGCAATGGTCCAGGCAGAGGAAGCGGCTGCCGAGATTACTAGGAAGCTAGAGAAACAGGAGAGAAGACGCTTGGAGAAGGAAAAGAAGCGGCTGGCCGCAACTGCCCTCGCGTCTTCAGAAAACAGCAGCACACTGGAGGGGTGCGAGTGTTTCAGGGTACTCTCTGGCACCCCGCGTGGTGGCTCTATTGTGACCAGCATGGAGACTAGTGAAAAACCCCAGAAGAAGAAAAAGCAAAAGCTCCGGGAGGCGGCTCCTCAGGAGAATGGCATGGAAGACCCACCTGTTCCTTTATCCAAACCCAAGACAAAGAAATCTCTTTCCAAGGAGGAGCTGGTTAGTAGTGATCTCGAGGGGACAACGGGCAGTGGGAATCTCCCCAAGAGGAAGAAATCTCTCTTCAAGGAGGAACCAGTCAGTGACCCTGAAGAGGCAGGAAACAGGAGTGTCCCCAAGAAAAAGAGGAAATTTTCTTCCAAAGAGGAGCCACTCGGCGGTGGACCTGAAGAAGGTGCTGGTAGCAAGAGCAGCAGCTGCAAGAAAAAGAAAAAAACTCCAAAAGCTCTCCCAGGAAGATTAGAATGGACAGTACCCTCCAGTGACCCACCCCTTGTATCCCAATGAAAACAAATTCACAAGGAAAAAAAAAGAACGAGACGAGGCCCTGACAAGGTCGTGTTGTTTACCTGCAGCAAGTAAAAGAGACGGGGGGAGTCCCATCAGAAACTCCGCCCCCTGGGAGGGAAGTTTAGCCGTCGCTTATTCGCCCTGTCTGGTCCAGCGCATCTCGATTTCTTCTTTGCAGCTGGCTGGCTCGCACCCTTGACTTCCTGTCAGCTCCTGCTCTTGACCGCTGCCTCTGCGAAACACGACCCTACATGCAAGAAACACCATTTAGCACTGCCCAGACCTCGAGACCCTTGTGCTGTGTACAGGGTCGTCCTGGGGACTGGCCTTGGGCTGCAAGAAGGCGGGCTGGGGTTTGGGCACGGAGCCAGCAGTTTCGCCGGGGAGGGTTAGGAGACAAAGTGCTGTCTTTCCCGGGGCGATCCGCCAGGAAAAGTAGTTCCTGCACGTTTTGAAATCTCCCATTCTGAAAACTGCCGTCGCTTTCGGTGTTGCTCAGTTGAGCAGCCAGGTCGGCTGTATTTGGGGGTACTAGTGGGGGGGGGAGGTGCGGTGAGGGCTTGGCTAGTCGGGTGACTGTCGGTGCCGCAGGGGACGGGGTGAAAGGGGAAGTTCAGCGAAAGTCACCAGCCCAGATTAAGTGACGGGGGAGGGGGTGGCGCACTTGCTTTGAGTATCACAATTGCCTCCCAGGGGCGCATGGTGCCCAGCCATACTCTGCCTCGATTTCCCCAGTGTCTGCAGGGTCCTGACACCGCCTTGGACGCACGCTGCTCGCTCCCTCCCTGCTCCTAACTAGTTGGGCCTCCTTGGCGCGCACGCGTGGCCAGGGTGTCCGGGTCAGGGGTTGTCCCCGCCAGGGGTTGGGCCAGCTCTGGCCCCTCCCCACCACCGGGCCTGCAGGGCCTCTGCTCCCATTCCTACTGAAGCCACTGTCCGCAACCGCTCCAGCCATGGGCGCCGCCGGTTCCTCAACGCTGGCCTGCTTCGCCCTCCCCGTGTCGCGGCGCCCGGCGCAGCTCAGACCCGTCTGGCTCGGGGCAGCCGCGCTGGGACTGGCCGCGGTGGTGCTGGGGACGGTCGTGTGGCGCCGCACGCGGTCCAGGCGGCCGCGGCGGCTGCAGCAGGTGGGCACCGTGGCTCAGCTGTGGATCTACCCGGTCAAGTCCTGCAAGGGGGTGGCGGTGAGCGAGGCCGAGTGCACCGCCCTGGGGCTGCGCAGCGGCGACCTGCGGGACAGGTACGGCTGGCCGGAGCCCCGGAGGTGGGGGATGGGGTGGGGGTGCGCGGCGATGGTCCTGCTGAGGGTGCGTTGGGGTGGGGGTGGGGGGGCGGGAGAGGTGGGTCTTGTCCCCCCCACCTCCAGAAGGAGACTAGGGGTTCACCACCTGGGTTTCCGGAGCTGCTTGTGGGTACCCCTGCCTTTCATCCCTGAGCGGGGAAGGTCAAGTTCACGTCTGATTCAGATTTGGAAAGGTAGGCAGGGGCAAAGTTTCCTTTGTGTAAAAGCACTGGGTCTGACTTGGTTATAGCTAAGGCTCCGGTTAGCGCTAAACTTTCTTAGTTTATGGCACAACAGTAGCCACGTGAAATGCCACTGGCACTAGCGGGCAGACCTGAGCGGCGGCGAAACTGATTTTCGCTCAAGGACACATGGCCTTGGGCCTTGCTGGGGCGCGCTCCTCACCGTGGGCAGTCCCCGCAGGTGCCTGGGAGACCCAGGAGGCGGGGACACCAACACCCCTTTCATGGGCACTGAGCGGAGTGAAGGCTTACGTGGGGGACGGGGGCGGTGGGGGGAGAGGGTGGCTGCAGGGTGGTGGTATTCCCTGAGGGAACAGTGCGTCTCTGGTCTCCCCGGTGTCTGCCCGCATAGGGTCCGGCACACAGTCATTCCATTCTCCTTACTCGGAAAAGACAAGGTGTCTTGTCATGTAAGTCACCCCCAAGGTGAGGCACAGACGCGTGCCGTTCACAGAAGGATGCAGCTGGGTATGGGGAAGGCTCTCTTGACTGCGAAGGGTGCCAATGCCTAGTAGGAGCGATCAAGGGAGAATTTGCGAACCCTGAAAAAGACGACACCTGCTGAAAAGGGTCCCTGGCAGGTAACCGGGCTCAAATTCAACAACAGCAACAAACACAGAACCTGGCAGCCATTTCTACACAGGGGCCTCCACTGCCAGCTGCACTCCAGGGGGAGGCCTGCGCTGAACTGCCTGCCCGCCCCGTTTCTGCCACCTGAGCCGGCCCTTATAAAGGAGTGACTTCCTGGAACTCGATGTCAGCCAATAGGAATGAGGCTTTCCCATCTAATCTGAGCTGCATGGCTCCAATCAACCCGGGCTGCTCTATTCTGGCCAATCAGGACAATGCCTGTTGGACCAATCAGACTGAAATGTGGAGCCCTTATTTGCATGCGGACAGATCGATCAGGGACCAGGGCCAGGGACTTCTGTCCCCAGGACCCAGCTTCCCTCTGGCTCCCGGAGTGCACCTTCCCTTTCCACGTGAGATTGAAGACTTCGCCCCCCTGGCTGAGCCGCGAGACCGAAGGTGGTTCGCAGAGCAGAGCGGACTAGCGTGGACCAGAGCAGGCTGGCCCAGGAGGGGGCGGACCAGCGCAGCACAAAGCGGGCTGCCAAGGGCTGCCTCCCAGCGGTCCTGTTCTCATAACTGAGCTGTTCTGCACCGAATCTGCTTGCCTTCTTCTCCACACCCTAAATCGGGGCTTCCTGTCGGCGTTGAATCAGCACCATCAGTCGACAGATGGAACCTCCTTTATTTCCTTAGGATGAAGATGCCTCCACAGCTGGTTGGGATGGCTTAGCTGGGGTCTTGTGTGTGTGTGTGGGGGGGGGGCGTCTAGAGGGAGGGAGGTGTCCAAGTTAGTTGTTCAAGGAACCTTCTAGCAGAGGCCGTCTGGCTGCCCTGAGTTCACTCCAAGACACATGGACTCACTCTTCACTGAATACTGCTGTCCTCTTAAATAGTGGGCTCCCACGGCCTGGAAGAACTTCAACTTGTTTTAGAAAGTGTTGTATACGACAATGATGTAACTCACAGGAGATTGTCCAGGATTAGCCCTGCACCCCAGACGGCTAATCCTGGAGAGTTTTTTAAAGCTGTGGTTTCCTGAGACTCCCATCCAAGAGTGAGGTCGGCATCTCCCAAGTGACTCCGATGCTCTAAGCAAAGGGTTTATCTGGGAATGAAGAACACGTTTAGAGTTTATGCAAATATGAAGAACTAGACTTCCTAGACCTTGCTTGGGACCGTTGTCCTATCTAAAACAATGGCACGTCATCAACATTATAACGAAACACCACTGAAGGAAACAATGTTCTTCGAGGACCTGCCGCATCTCACCCAAGATCACAAAACCATTCTGTGCTGTATGGATTTGAACCCAGATCTCCGTGGGCGCAGCCTTCATGCTCTTTCCGTGAAACCAGTGTGTGATCTGGAAGTGCAAGGAGTGCCGACCAGCATCGGGGGACCATGGGCAGAGTCACTGGCCTCTCTGAGCCTCATGTTTTTTTCATTTGCAAAACACAGAGGTTGAACTCGGTGGTCTCTAGGACCCTATGTAATCGAGCTTTTCTTTACGAGACGGTAATTGGAACTGGAAAGCAGCCTGGACAAAACTGTGCTCCAGGACCCCATCGTTGCCTCAGCCTGAGACTTCGAACCCGAAACTGCGAAGAGGCTGGAATGCAGGAGACGGTGTCTTTGTGTGATTCCATTTTGAACCGGAGTCTCTGGAACTGGGATCTAAGATCTGGGGTCCTCCTCTCCCAGGGCTCTGTGTCTCACATTTCCAGGGACATTTTCGTCAAAGCTCTTAACCCATTTGTGAACACTTGGCTTGAACGCCTCGAGCTTTGGTCGGGTGTAAAGGCCCCCAGCAGAGCCCGGTGAGAGCCCTCTGGCCGAGACATGGCCGCCCTCCTTCACCGGGTCATTCCTCATCTCCTCAGCCCCCCCGCCCCCCCGCCCAGGACCCGACCACTTACACGTCCGTCCAAACCCTTGCTGACGTCAGCCCCGCACTCTCCTGCACAGGCCCTTATTCTTATGGCTTGGAGAAATGAATTCCTGCAGCTCACAATCCTGAGTGCCCTTTTCTCTTGGCTTCTCCCCGCCTGCACCCTCCTCCTCTCTGTAGTGGGGTCCCTGCTTCCCCCCTTTCCAGACTCTGTCCTTCCTGCTTCCCGGGCCACTTTGTACATTTAGGAAAGAGGGTTCCCCACTGCCCTTGGCCGCACAGGGCACTGCGGCTGTTTTGGAGAAGCTGAGCTCCGGACTCTGCACTGATCTCCACAGGAGACCCTCGCATTTTAGGTGTGAAATGAAGGTGCTGGATTTTCACGTGGCAGGCTCAGTTGGGGTAGCGTGGTCATTAAAAAAATCCATACTCCAAACCTTTTCCTTCCTTCAGATTGGGCAGAACAGGACTAATTACTCATTCACTGGGCGTCCCTTGTCTGGGAGAGGTGAAGAATAGCATTCATTAGCCCGTTGAGGAGGCAGTGAGGCTGGTTGGGGTATGTTAGGGACGGCAACTTTGTATCTTTATCCCAGCGTTAGACTGCTTGCAAGCAGCAGTGGCCAGCACGGAGCCTCTGGCCACCACGGGTGGTAACTCCCAGGGATGCCTCCCACGTGATCACACAACAGGCTGGAGTGCAGCTGGGGTCTGCGAGCCAGAGCGCAGGGCTGCACTTGGAGGGTGGATGGGAGGTGAGAAGGCTCAGCTCAAGGAGGGACTGGCTGCCAGAGATAACATCGTGCCGTCAGGTCTGTGACTCCGGGCTGGTTTCTCGGCAGGTTTTGGCTGGTGATTAAGGAAGACGGGCACATGGTCACGGCCCGGCAGGAGCCCCGCCTCGTGCTGGTCTCCATCACCTACAAGGACGGTCGGCTGACCTTCGAGGCCCCAGGCATGGAGCAGCTGGTGTTGCGGAGCAAGCTGCCTTCCTCCAACAGGATCCACGACTGCAGGTGCTCCGCCGGGGGCCTGGGGGCCTGCGCGGGGCCTGGTTTCCCTCGGGCTTCTCCCTGCACTCTGCAGTTTGTACTGCAGTGAGAGCATTTTGCTTTAAGAGTACCCGGGAGTCGTTTTAATCAGATGTGGTAAGACACGCAGACAAGGCAATGACCGTCATAAAGAAAGAAGTTCTTTTATAGTCACAGATCCCTAGAAACCGAGGGGGCCTTTGCCACGCAGGGCCCCACCGGGAAGCACCAGGGCTGGTCTGGACGTGGCAGAGGGAACAGGAAAACCGTGAGCAAGAGCCTTGTCTCCAAAGGCAGGACTGCGAGGCAGAACAAAGGCTTCGGATGGGCCCGTGTGAATAACTGCAGTGGTCGCCGGGCCACAGAAACCAGAGGAGACCCTGACATTGGCGACCACGTGGGTGGACTTGGAGGAGGACATTATGCTAAGTGAAATAAGTCAGACAGAGGAAGACCAACCCTGTGGGATGTCACTTATATGTGGAATCAAACAAACAAACCAAACCAAACCAAACAACAACAACAAAAAAAAAACCCAAATATCCAACTCATAGAAAAAGAGATCAGATCCGTGGTTCCCAGGAAGGGGATCGGAGGGAGACGGTCCTGAGGTACAAACCTCCAGTTACACGAGAAAGTAAAAACGGGGTGGGGGGGTGTGGACCGTGCAGTGGGGTGTCTCTGGTTAACGCTCCCTCAGGGCGTGTTTGCGAGTTGGTCCTGAGCGTTCTCATCACCAAGGGGAAAACACTTCCTACTTTTTCCTTTTTGTACCGTTACGAGACGGTGCATGTTAACTGACCTGACTGTGGTTAGCATATGTAAGTGAGGGCACGATGCTGCACACCCCCAAACTTCTGCAGTGCTCTATGTCAATTATATCTCAACAGAACTGGAGAAAAACAATCTTTTGAAATGTGGACCATAAAAGAAGAGCTTCGTCGTGTATTTTTTTAAAAAAGGGAGAAGGTTGGCTATCAAAATATTACGGCATTTATATTCCAATGCCTACTTTTAAAAGCATGATTTTATTTTATTTCAACATGTTTTCTGTATTTAAATATTAATATAATATGATTTTATTTTGAATGTTAGTATTTCCATTTCAGTGGAAATGATATCTTTCACCACACACTAAACTTACGAAAGTTCCCATGTCAACTGAGAATTCTGCGAGTGGTACAAAGCTTAAAAAAGTTCTTTTCCAGTCACTCAAGCAAAATGACCTTGAAGAGTGTTGTGCTGTCTAGGGAAATCTGCTCCCCGTCTGGGGTTGGTGCTCTATTATTATCTCCTACTTAGCGCTGGAGACGGGCGGTCAGAGGAGTGGAATGATTTGCTAAAGGCCACAGACTAGAGAACGGGAGCATTCCAGTTCGAACCAGCTCTGCAGACACAGCTCAGGGTGCCTCTCCCACACCCGAGATGCGCCCCTCTCCCCTTTCTTAAAGTGTCCTAAATCCTTGCTACTCGGAGTGCGGTCCACAGACCAGCAGCTTCGGTGTCCAGATGCTTGTTTGGAACGGAAAGTGTCAGGCCCCAGCCCACCCTCCTGCCCCCGAATCTGCCCATGCAAGAAGTAACCTTGGTCTTTCTTGTTCCTGCTCCAGGGTTTTCGGTCTGGACATCAAGGGCCGGGATTGTGGTGACGAGGTAGCTCAGTGGTTCACCAACTTCTTGAAAACGGAATCGTTCAGGCTGGTTCAGTTTGAAAAGAGCATGAAGGGAAGAGTAGCAAAGAACATTGTCCCGTCTGTGGTGCAGAATTACCAGGTGAGCGGCCAGAGAGCTGCCCTTCACCCCCACCAGTCAGTCACGCTTCCCTTTCCACCTCCCTCGTGGCCCACAGGGAGCCCCCGGGGTCCCCAGTTAGGAAAGGCAGGCATGGCCAGGTGAGCATTGCTGAGGGTGCCACCTGGGCAGGTGCTGGGGATGGAGAGGGAGGTGGGTACCCGAATCCCCAGGGCTGTCCAGGATGCATGAGGATGGAATACAGGAGATATCTGTGCTGGGAGACGCTGGGGCGACGCCCTCCTCACCCACAGTGAGTTGGTTTCCCAGGAGAAAATGGGTTGGGGGGGTGGAAGTGAGAGGTTTGTTTGGGACTAGATCCAGGTTTTCTGCAGAAGCAGACTTTCTCCAGCACTGCCTTCACGGTCGGTGCAGGTTGCTTATTTCAGGGGCTGGGACAAGGCCCCTTCTCCGGAAGAAAACAGCCTCCTCGGCCTTTGACCTTGCAGGGAGATGAGGTGTAAAATGCAAGCTCCTCGGAGTCTCCCCCGGGTCCCCTGATGTCAAGCTCCTTGAACGCAGGGCATTGAGTCTGCTTTGTTCCCTGTGATTTCCCCTCCTCGAACGAGGCCTGATAGGCACATCCAGGTGCTGACCAAATGCATGTTGCGGTAGCAGTGGTGTGGCGGCTGAAAGAAACCGTTGCAAGAGCAGAGCCGATTGGCCGCGGCCCCTTTCCCTGACCGATGATGATGACTAGGAAGGGCATCCCCTGTTGGGTGCTGGAGTGAGGAACAGGAGAGAAAGTGGGGTGCGGAGGGTGAGGTCAGCCCCAGGCCTGGCTGCTGTCTTCCGTGTGTGGGCGGGGCCCCGCCGTCAGACCAGAGTCGAGTTGGCCGTTCCCACGCCCGAAGCGTCGCCTCTCCTTCCCCAGACGCCACGGTCCCCTTCCGCACTCTGGCGGCTTTGCTTCTAGACTTCGCTGAGCTTTGCGGTTGGCCTGAGCGATTTCACAGGGCAGCGAGGCCTGACGGGGCCGTGCTCTTGGCGCAGGTGGCCTACCCGGACTGCAGCCCGGTCCACATCCTCTCGGAAGCCTCCCTGGCAGATCTGAACACCAGGCTGGCGAAGAAAGCGAAGATGGACCAATTCAGGCCAAATATCGTGGTGACAGGCTGTGCTGCTTTTGAGGAGGTAAGGGGCTCACTGTTTTTGTGCGTTATGCTCAGATGCGCTGTTCAAGACACTAACAGGATTGCCATCACCTTGAGCCAGCGCCAACTCAGACCCTCCGGGGTGGGCAGTGCTGGGAAACTCCTTCCCCAAGTCACCTGCCTTCCCCTTGTCCACTGTTATGCCTGTAAGTGGTGGCTCTGGCCGAGGACCCGGGCCTGGCTACTCCATCCAGCCTCTGGGTGCTAAGGTCCAGGTTCCGATTAGAGATCCCAAATGGTACCCTGAGGGGAGAGGCTCTCGAACACCTCCTCAACTCTCTGCACCCTTGGGTGCCTGCACTTCCTTTTGTGTGAGTAAAATGTGCCCCTATTTGCTACTCTGCATTATCCTGTAGGGTCCACTTTTGCAGAGTACCTCACGGAAATCCATGTACCTGCAGGTACCTCATATAATTTGATAGTTTAAAAAATAGCCACATAGACAGATATTGTCTCCTGGTTGGTGTTTTCCTGTCATTCGTTACCTAGTTTCTTTAATTCTTCTTTACATGTGTTAAAAACGTGTTTTAATTGACCATCTGTTATGGGCCTGGACACAGAGATTCGAGTCACAGATCCTGTCCTGCATGCAGAATCTCCCCCGGGAGAGGAACGCCCTTGACCAAGGGGACTTGCTGTTTCTCCCCAGGAACACATCCACATTTGGCCGGACCTGAAGTTTATTCAATTTGGGGGCCTCTTTAAAAATAATAATAATAATAATAATAATAATAATAATAATAATAAAATTAGGTGCAGGTCCTTGCAAGGGTCCAGTGCAAGTGGCGGCTCTGAGGTTCAAGGCTCACGAGCTGTTTTCAGCACAGCCACCCGTCCCTCCCCTTCCTACTTTCCCAAGTCGTCTCCTCGCCGCACCGAAGTCTGGGGCCAGGAGACGCTTGTTGAATGCGGAATGAAATGAGCGCTTTGGGTAGACGATGCACATTACTAAACCCCAGATTCAAATCAGTCCACAAAGCAAAACATTCGTTGATGGGAATCCGGTAATTGGGTCAATATTTTCTGAGAACTTTTTTTTTTTAATAGCTTCTTGGTCTCTTGGCTAAGATCAGATGTAGAAACTTTCCTTTTAGGAAATATGATTTTTCTTGGTTTGATGCCACTGAGAGAGAAATTAGTTTGCTATTCATTTTCAGTTAAGATCTTGTGCCAGGGGAAGGAGAAAAGCTGGTCTCATTCCTGCCTATAGAATTTTGACTTTCCTGCAACTTATCAGGCTGAACCTAAGGCTAATGCAGCCTAACTGGGTTCCCTTAGGCCCTTTGAGTAGGTGGAGTCCTTTTTTTCATTTGTTCAAATGAAAATAATGTTCACTGACCAAGTCCCTTTCTTTTTATTTCTGCATTGCAGTGGGCACACAGAAATAGTCATGCTCATATTTTTCTAGAGTACTCAGAGTTTTCTAGAAGAGTCCTCTGGTTATGCACATTTTAAAAAAAAGTCCTTACCATAAAGTGATGCCAATGTTGCTATTATTCTCCCTTAAATTAGGAAACCCAGTAGTTAGTGGCCCAATGCATTAACCTATCTACCGGACACCACTGCCTTCCAATTAGTGGGACTTGATTAAATATTAATGCAAAATGATAATGCACATAAATATTTAATAGACCAACTAATAATAAAAAAATAGCAACCCTAAGCAAAAAACTCAGGCCATTATTTATTGCAAAAATATAGAATAATAGGAGAATGCGGTGTGCAACATTGACTCTTTCCGACCCAAAGTGCTTCATACTTTTTCTGTGTAACTCGGATTACGAAGCAGATTTAAAAAGGCGGCTTCCCTTGGGCCATTGCGGCGTGTGTGTGTTCTGGGACTGAGGGGCAGCGAAATTCAAACATAATGACCCTAACCGGTGCTTCTGAGCTCTGTGGTTGACCGCCGCGCGACTGAGTGTTCCCCGAGTCTTGCTTGCTGTCCTGGGGGGCAGCGCTTGTCCTTTCTCTGGAATGCTCTGTTCGTGTCACTCCTCACTCCACACGACGCAAGAACAGTGATGGAGAACCTCGCAGACAACCGTTGCTGTGGAATTTGTGCCTTGGGCGGGGCTCCTCCAAGAAGCTTCTAGAGACACAGTGGACTTTGAAGTCCAGGCAGCTGTGCTTTGAACCCCAGCCTCCCAGGACGATCCTTTGCAGCTGCGGAAAAACAAAGCTTTTGTAAATCATCATAACCAGACGTTTCTGTTCCCGATAATCAGAGTCGGGATGAGTCGGGGTTCTATTTGGGGGTTCAGAGAAGAAGCCTCGGGCCATGGCGTGAGGACGGCGACCTCTGCTTGGCTTCAGGGGTTTCCAAAGTAGCAACAATAAAAATAATGATACATGAAAAACAATAACAAGAGTAATAATAGCAGGTATAGCTCACAGTTCTCAAATGCTCAGAACGTAGCAGGCCCTCCTCTGCCGACCCATTGCGTGCATCGTCTCATTTAATCATCCTCACTGCCCAAGCTGCAGGTCACAGCTCATTGTGGGCTTATTCTGTCACTTTGGTGGAGGCTCACCAGCATTTAAAAAAAATGGAATACAATAGAATAAAAGATACCAGAAAAGATATCAGAGTAAACTATATGTAGAAAGGGTAAGAACTGTTTTGCAGAACTTTTGTTTAAGTTGTACCTTGGATGTGTGTGTGAAAGAGCATTAGAAACCATATACAATGTACTGTTTTAAAAGGACATTTTTAGAGCAATTTCAGGTTTACAATATAATCGAGAAGAAGGTCAAGAGATTTCCCACATTCCCCACTGTCATGTTCACGTCCTGAAGGACCTCTTGGTTGCTTCCAAGTTTTGGCAGTTATAAAATGTAGTTTTCTACCTTGGTCCTCAGGAGAAAAGAATGACTTGGTATTCAGTGAGGTGAGCAGTATCTTCCCGATGTGGAAAATGAGACTCAGAGAAGTTGAGCAACTTGCCCCGTGTCACACAGCAACGGTGTGGACACGGGAAGACCTGTGCTCCGGCTGCCCTTCGGAAGTTCAGGAGGCAAAGCTGCCCGCACAGCTCTGCCTCCTTCCAACATTGCGAGGCCTCATGGCAAAATCGCATGGGGCCCCCTCTCACCCTGGACAGTGGAGGTCAATAAGAGACGGACAGGAAGGGCAGGGCCGGTCACCGTGGCGTGCTCCGGCTGCCTCCAAGCGGAGACAGGAGTGCTGACTGTGTGACTCTTACGACTGATGCCCCTTGGGTAATGTCCTTCCTACTCACCCCAAAACGTCAGTTTTAACCTGGCTTCCTCGGTAGCTGTGAGCTGTGAGGAGAGAGGGGCTCGTCTGGCAAGCTACACGTTTCTCGTTATATAGCCTGCAAGACAAGCCACTTGCCTTCGACTTCATTTGTGATTCTCATGGCGACGGTCCCCCAGAGAAGGTCTGTCCCTCTGCTGACGGTCAGGTTTCCGAGACCGCGAGTCAGAGGTGGAGCCTGCTCTCACCAGCGTGCTGCCCACCTGGGAGTCTTTTGGGGAGACTGGTCTTGGCGTCTCCATGCACTGCTTTCTTCTGCCGGCTTCATAGCTAGCACCCGCCGAAGAAGAAACCGCTTTAAAGACGAATGAAGCCTTAATTCAACAGATAACGTTTCCTTTTCCCCTAGGATACCTGGGAGGACATCCTAATCGGCAGCACAGAAATGAAAAAGGTTTTGGCTTGCCCCAGGTAAGGGCTCTTGCGAGACTCGGCCTCTGGGGTGTGGCGTGCCCATGGGTTCTTGATCGCCACCTAACCCTCGGTTACCGCGTGACAGGTGCATTATGACCACGGTGGACCCGGACACCGGAGTGATAGACAGGAAGGAGCCACTGGAGACCCTGAAGAGGTAGCATGCGTGTCCAGTGTATTTTTAATGCCCCCCCCCCCGAACCTAGGACTAGCTATGGGTGGAGGTGCTTTGCCTGGACACCTGTCTCTCTGCCTCCTGGTTGCTTTGTGTCTATCGGTTAATGTGAGTGAGTGATGCTGCCCCCTTTTTTTTCCCTGCACATCATCTAATGCTTTGGGTGGGCTTTTAATTGTAGGATAGTAGGGTGTGAACTTTTCGTATCTCTCATGTCAGTTTCTAGTAGCATTCACGGTGGGGTTTCCTTCCCAAACGAAGACGTTGTATCCTTTATTGTTATTGCAACTCAGATTTCTTTACTAGAACCCGTGTCAAGGACTGTGAGAATAATTCAGATTGTACCATAAAACATTAGAAAAAGCAGAATGCGGGGAGTCGTTTATCCAGAAGCCTCATCGGTGCCAGGGAGCTCGTCCTGTTACTTAAAGAATTGGGGCTGGCTTTAGTTCTCAACATAAAATGTGTTTCTAAACCCAAGTTCACACTTCTGGGGAGGCGTATTCTGTTTTCTTTCTGTTTCTTCGATTTTGTTGTTGGTTTCTCATGAGTTTAGGTTAGAGAATGGTTATATTTCCTGAAGCATTAAGAGTTACAGTTCCATTTTGTTTTGCTTTTTTTAAGATTTTAAAAAAGATTTTATTTATTTATTTTTAGAGAGGGAGGGGAGGGAGAAAGAGAGAGAAAGAGAAACATCAATGTGCGGTTGCTGGGGGCCGTGGCCTGCAACCCAGGCATGTGCCCTGACTGGGAATCGAACCCGCAATACTTTGGTTCACAGCCCACGCTCAATCCACTGAGCTACGCAAGGCAGGGCTTTGTTTTGCTTTTTAAGGTGCAATGAGGTTTATTTTTTTTTCCTTGAGGTTACATACACATTTGTTTCTCTGAGCTGTGAAATTGGAAGTACACATGGGGTATTTAAGTAGCACAGAAAAGTGTTTTCCCCTTTGGCCTCAAACTGAAGTCACGGAAAAGTTGTTTAGACTCTCAGGATACTTCTCAAAAAAACCAGAATTATTTGCAGTTTGACTAATGGCCTCTAGACTCCTCTGTCAGCATTTTAGAAAAAGCTGACCATTTCTTTCATTATAAACAAGCGGGGTGGGGCGTGGGGCATGAAAGCTTGAATTCTATCGAAAGCACCTGGATTGTCATTTCCTTTTGGTGCCTAATGACGGGTTTTTGCTTTTTTCCCAGCTACCGCCTGTGCGATCCTTCGGAGAGGAACATCTACAAGTCATCCCCGCTTTTTGGGATGTACTATTCGGTGGAAAAACTCGGCAGCTTGAAAGTCGGGGACCCGGTGTATCGGATGGTGTGGTGATGGGCCCGCGGGCTGACACGGTAAAGGGCCAGCTCTGCCTCTGGGCGGCGGGGCCTCGAAACCACTGCCACGGGGTCTTGCGTCCTTCCCACGTTTTGCCGCGGCAACTGCGGGGAGTGTGAGCGGCTGGTGTTTAGATCTCCAGAGCTGGGAAACGCCCTTTATTTTCAGTCGCCCCTGTCATTGGTATCGCCCCCCCCCGCCCCCCGCCCCCCACAGACTGCTCCGTCCAGCTTCCCCTCCGCTGGAAAATGCTGAGGCCGGAGCCTGCGGAGACACCGGTGGCTGGGCCCCGCCCCCTGAAGGAGAGTCACCGGGGATCAGAACAGGAAGGGGACCCGCCCTCCCGGGTTGCAACACCCTGATCTTCTTTCTGCCTCGGACAGAAAAGCGAAGGGGAATGTCGAGATGATTCCGCACCAACTTGGGGGAAACACGGGAAGCGCTCTGTGTCAAATGAGTTCTTAAAGTGGGACGTAAAGCTTGAAAAAAACCAGTGCATTGAGGTCCCGGGCTCGGGCGGACTCACAGGCGGAGAAGCGTGCTCCCAGAGCGATGTCCTCGGGCCGAATAAAGCCCTGAGCCCCCATAACGCCTGACCCCCAAATTACAGGGACGTCCGTGTGAGGACTTCAAATGGAGGGCTTTTGTTTTTATTAATTCTTTTCTTAAAATGCATAACCCAGGTATTGAAGTTACCTAATGTCCAAAACGCTAGCCCATCCTTCTGTGGTCTGACCTGCTCCACCCCTCACGTGACCGTCCTAATGGACAACATAGGCCCGTGGACTGGACAGCCTGCACCTGGCATTCGGTGGACCTGGGTTCCTAACCCCAGCATCAACACTCTCCAACTCCGTTGAATATTTCACTCGGCCTTTAAGCCCCAGGACCCCTATCAGCAAAGTGGGAAAAAGAGTAATACTCCCCAAAACAACCAATACAAAGCATGTGGGGAATTAATTCATATGAAGTTGCAGCATTGCCACCAAAACAGAGCAAATAATCAGCATAGTTATGATTTTCACGGGCGTCGTTTCCAACAAGCACCCCACCTGGGGCCCCGTCTTCGATGCTGGAGTGGTCAGAAAGGCGAGATGGGCTTTGCCCTGGTGGTGAGCAAAGCGGAGAGAAACTTCTGCTGTCCACCTGTCTGATCTGGCATTTTCGTAGCCATACCCATGTGTCAACACTTCTAAGATGCCGACTTTCCCCACATTTTAACATCGCTGAAACCAAAAAGATGGTGATAGTCAGGGGATTCCTGTTAAAAAATCTCAGCGATGCATAAAAACAATGGTGCCTCTTAGGATTTGCTAAAATGCGGCCGACACTGGAGTCAAAATTCCTAAGTGCCTGCCACTTCCACCTGGAAGGTGGGGCCAGGCCTGCGCCACGCTGACTCAAAGCCTTGAAATTAAAAAGAGTGGTCCATCCACGCACCAGGGCTCCTGGGGTGGTACACACATCCATTTAAAATGTAATTGTGTCGAAGTGTATCTGCTCTACCATCAGTGTGATGTATGTTCACTGTGGTAAATTTAGAAAGTAGAACGTATGAGAAAAGTAGAGGAAAGATATCACCTATTGTCTGTGTTTATACATTTTATTCTGGTTGGTTTGGTGTAGCTGTGTAATGTGCATAATTGTGTATAGCATGTCTCATACAGATATATAAAGGAATGTGCACCGTATGCTGTATATACAGATATATTACACATATATCATGGATCTATCATATGACATATGTCATATTTATATATCATGTCTATATATCTATCACATCACCTCTACATATCTGTCATATACATGATAGATATATATCATAAGCACTTCCATAGCCCTCTAATCTATACAAATGCCATTTTGATGGTTTTATAACATTACATTGTGGAAATATAACACTGTTTAAACACTGTTGTACAGTATTTGACTATTGGACTATATCCAGTTTTGTTATGAATAGTAATCTTGTAGCACACATGCTTGTATGCAGAGCATTTGAAAATTAAGAGTTTTTCTATAAGCACTATCCTTAAAGTGGGATTACTCATGCACGGGGCATAGGCATCTGTTTTCGAGCACCCTGTCCCATTGCCCTGGAAAGGGTGACTCCCGTCTGCAGCCCTCGTGTCACGGGACACCCCTTGCCCTGGGCGTCCCCAGAGCTGTGCGGTGACCGTGTCTCGAGACTGCCCTTTCCCGGTAAGGTACTTTGGTGCAAGACACGGTTTTATTTCTTGCGTTTCCCGAAGTGACTGGGTTGTGGGTGTCTGAATTATGGATGACCGGGAGGAGAAATGAGCAAATAATCAGATTCTTATTATTTATTCAGGTTCCGGCGTCCCGCAGACATCGATCAGGGTTTTGTCTTCGCTAGCAGCACCGCCTTGGCCTCTGATCATCTCCACCCTGGAAACGAATCTCCGTTCTTGACTTACTTTCTGGAGTTAGGCAGGCTCCTGGTTAATGCAAGGAAAGTATTCGTGGTGATTTGGGAATAGGAAGGTTATGTAGATTTTAGGTAAGGAAGACTTTGACATACATAGAATTGTCTCACAATTATTTCGAATGTCACTGTAGCTCTCATACTCCTGACACTGACATTGATGAGATCAAGTGTAAAGAATCTGATCAAAAGCTGCAACATTTTTTCTAAATGTTTACATTGGATGACCGGCCATTCCGTGTCTCCAGAGACATGAGGAACAGCAGGTGTCCTGATGTGCCTTTATTTGCAAACACCCAAGATTCCGTCGGTTTTTACATGACTGCTGAGTGCCGTTGACCTGCTCACGTGGTCTGGACCAACCACGAAGGAGTCAGATTGTGCTCGAGTATGATTTTACAGACCCCGTTTTCATAGTGGAGTGTAAGGCTTTGCGGCCAAGTAAGAGTAATTGTGTGTAATTGCCAGACACACCCCCTGGAGTTCCAGGTGCGATAAAGAAGAGACTGGGATTTAAAACAGAGTGGAATTCAGAGCGTCGAGCGGGAAGAAGGAAGGTTGCATATATTTTTTTGGTGCAGATAATTTTTTTGTGGTAACAGCAATGAAGTCCTTTGGTATGACTCACTGAACACAAATGCTCCCTGAAGTAATATGTGAACGAGTTCATCTACTTAACAATGTTGTGGTTTCTTTGCTGTTAATAAACGTGACTTTCTGTTGTACTTTCTGTTTGGTGTTGGTGAGTCTGTTTCCTGGGCTTTGTCGTTTTATTAGAACCTCAGTCCTCGTCACTCACCCTTTCTGGTTGCCTGGCAGAGACATAATCGCCGCCCCCCCCCCGCACGTGACCTCCTGTTGTTGGTGGGGACGGGGTTGGGGGGCGTCAGGGAGGACTCGGGTGGCCTGCCTGCAGCAGCTGGCGGTACACACCGTTGAACGTTCTGAGATGTGTGGTTATCGACTCTGTCCCCAGGGGGGCGCACGTTAGTCAACATTTTGGGGGGGCGGGGCTAGACCCTTTTCCTTCCAGCTCATTCCTGGAAGAGGTGGGCTCAGGGATGCACCCCAATATCTGAATGTCCCCCGACCACAATTCCTCATTTCACAGGTGTGGGGAGACGGAGAGGGTGAGCAGCGGTTGGAAATGGGGTAGGGGCAAGGGGATCATCTGTTTTCCCCGGTTTCCCGCTGGCCGCAGGCTCCCCCTGGAGGCCCGGCGGGGAGGGTAGTTCTTGCGGGGAACGCACCGCCAGCGGCTGCAGGCGGGAAGGTGCAGGAAGCGGCGGCTGGAAGACCCTGGAAGCCGAGCTGGCTCGCACTGCGTGACCCGGGCCCACCCCTCCGGAGAGGAGCGCTCCGATAGGCCGGGCATGGGTTCCCGGAACGGACCGGCCCTCCTGCTGGGCTCCGGACCAAAGGTTGCACCAAGGGCTGACCTGGGACCGCGGTGACCCCGCCCAGCTCCCCGCCTGGCCCACCCGCAACTGCTGAGCCATGGGCGCTGTGGGCTCCTCGGTGCTGAGCCGCCTCCGTGTCCCACCGCCACGATCGTCCGCGCAGCCCAGGACCGCCTGGCTCGCAGCGGCAGCGCTGGGACTGGCCGCGGTGGCGCTGGGGACGGTCGTCTGGCGCCGCACGCGGTCCAGGCGGCCGCGGCGGCTGCAGCAGGTGGGCACCGTGGCGCAGCTGTGGATCTACCCGGTCAAGTCCTGCAAGGGGGTGGCGGTGAGCGAGGCCGAGTGCACCGCCCTGGGGCTGCGCAGCGGCAACCTGCGGGACAGGTATGCTGAAGTCCTGGAGTTGGGGGTGGGGGTGGTGAGGGGCTGCACGGGACCTGCTGGGGATGCGGCGGGGCCGGGAGGTCACGGGTCCTTCCTGTAACCGAGAGCTGGGCGGGACAGGGACAAAGAAAAGGGATCCCTCTCCTCCCAGCAGCACACGCCTGGGTCCGGACCTGCTTTCCCGGGGTGGCTGTCTTTCCACCTCGTTCGCCTATTTCGCTCCTGAAGAGGTGTGGTCTCCGTCCCCAGGTGTCAGCCGATGCTCGTGGACTTAGTTAAACTCCGTCTAGCCGAAGCTAGAGCCAGGACTGGTCCCCGCCTCAATAATTTTAGTCACCGTCTCTTGAGAACTTGGGACAGCTCGGAGTCCCCAAGCCCAGCCCTCAAAGAGGGAGCACAGGATCACGTGGAAATGACGGCAGTGGAAGCTGACGTTTCTTGCATCTTAAAAAGTGCTATTGCCCAGGTTACTCCCCCCAGTTCTCTCAAGCATGCTTTTATGGATTGAGAAGCTGAGATTCGGAGCCACACTCAGGACTGTGGCTGGTTCTCTGGCGCACACTGTTACTTTGTAGAACAGTGCTTTTGTTTGTCTGCCTGGGTAGGCACACTCTGTGCATTCCTCGGGTTCAGCTAAGGTCATAAAAGCCCAGAGCAAGGGGCTTTGACCTCTTCTGGGTCAGGGTTCGGGCCATCTCCCGGCCTCATTGTAAGGCTGCACCTCAAACTCCTTGCTCCCCAAAGCAGCCCTCACAGCTTCTGTGGGTGACCTGCAGGCTGAGGGACCGTAACTTTCCCCCCAGCTCCCCAGCCAGAGGGCAATTCCTGAGACATTTGAAAGGTGAGCTATGCATCTCTGCTTCAGGAAGGGAGCCTAGAATCCCAGCTATGCCAAGGCTTGTACGCAGGCGCTGAAAGATGGTAGGATTTGGTTCTGCAGGCTCAGAGGCAAAAGGGCATTGTAATTTTGCAACATCAATTCAAAAAAGTGTATTGAGGTCACATTACAGTGCATAAGAAGAAGAGCTGGCATTTGTACCACAAATGACAATAAGTTCTCCATTGTCATGTTACCAAGAAATGCAGCCAAGAGATGTAATTAAAGGCTTCCCGTCCTCTGTGACACCTCACTCAATGTGACAAGTGTTAGGGAACCCAGAGAAAGGAGCACCAGAAACTGGCTGGTGGGGTCAGGAATGCCAGTGGAGCTTGCACGAAGTTTAGCATAATTATGAATTTTCCAGACACGCAGGTTGGGAGACGAACATTCTAGAAAGAAGGAGTTTGCTGGGTCAGGACCGTGGGTTTGAGAGGACAGGTACACTGGGGCAAAGGCTGGTGCACTCTGAGGTATTGACTCTTTACCAAAAACAATTGAAAGCAGGAACTTGAAAAACCACTCATTCACCTGTTCCCTGCAGCGTTATTCACAGTGGCCGGAAGGTGGAGTCAACCCAGCTCCGTCAGCAGATGGCTGGATAAACATCATGCGCATGCACACGATGGAGTATAATTCTGCTAAAAAAATGAAGTTCTGATACACCCTGTAGGATGGATAAGTCTTGAAAACATTGTGTTAAGTAAGCCAGACACACACAAAAAATATTGCATGCATCCACTCACAGGAGCTATCTAAAATAGGCAAATTGGTGGAGCTGGGCTAGAGGTTACCAGGCTGGGGGGAGCGGGCAACGGGGCTCATGGCTGCATGGGTACACAGTGTCTGTTTGCGATGATGAAAGGGCTTGGACGTGGGTGGTGCTGGAGGTTGCACAGTGCTGTGAGTGCACTGAATGCCGCTGAGCTGCGCACTTGAAAATGGTTAAAACCACATTTAAAAACGAATTATGGATGGGCACCGGGTTGTCTCACCCTTTGGTGTTGTGAACGGTGCCTCTGTGCAAGTGGGTGTGCGAGTCTCTGCCTGAGTCCTGGTTTCAGTTCTTCAGGGTGTACACCTCGGAATATGCCGGGTATCAGATGATGTATGTAACTATGTATGTATGTACATACACACACATATATCACTGCAGTAAACAATGAAAAGGGAAGTGGAAGGCTGGCCTGTGTGAGGGCGGGGGGAGGGGACAATTCCTGCCTCGCTGAAGAGTTTGGGTTTATCCCGAGAGGGGGAACCACGGAGGGACTTGGCCAGAGGGGTGACAGGATCAGATTGGTATTTTAGAGAGATCAGGCTGCCATCATGACTGGGAAGAATTACTAGAAAGGACGTTCGTATCCTGCTCCCAGGGATCCGGCTCAGGCCAGAGCTCCACCCCCTCCAGGGTGAAGGGCCAATGAAAGGGCAGTCCCGGAGAAGGCTTCCCTTAACCTCTTTCTGCGCGTTAGCCTCACACCTGGGCCACCATCACTGGCTGGAGGTGATGACCCAAAGCACCTGCCGGCTTTTTCCTTAACACCTGCGGACCCCCAAAGCACGAGCCCACTTCTGCAGTGGTGCTCATCCAGTCCGGTGTGAATCGAAATGACCAAAACAGCAATATGTTTACCATTGTTCTTTCTCTGGAAACGGTCTTTCTATTGCTCTAATTTCTCCTTTTTTTTTTTCCTTGTGGTAAGCACCTCTAGACCAGGAGTACTGGCCAGAAATAATATTGTCCATGTTAGCAGTAGACCTTTGAGTAAATGGCAGAGTTCACAGTTCTGAATGCTGGAGCATTAATTTTTTTCAAGGGGAGGGTGGATCTGGCAAGGTGTACGTGGCATTGCAGGTGGGCAGCTGAGCTCCGGGCTCTGTGAATGACAGAGCAACGACGTTGTGACTTCAGTGGGTGGGAGCCCAGTGCCTACTGCGTGTCCGGCACTGCGGGCCCTCCACGTTGTTCTGGGCAATCCACAATCGTCACTCCAGGGGGCCAGTTGAAGGAAAGTGGTCAGACTCTCCATCAGGTGAGATGAAAGCAGAATTCAGCCCTGGCTGGCGTAGCTCAGTGGATTGAGTGCGTGCTGCGAACCAAAGTGTCGCGGGTTTGATTCCCAGCCAGGGTACATTCCTGGGTTGCAGGCCAGAACCCCCAGCAACCGCACATTGATGTTCCTCTCTCTCTCTCTCTCTCTCCCCCCCTCTCTCTCCCCCCCTTCCCTCTCTAAAATGAATAAATAAAATCTTAAAAAAAAAGAAAGCAGAATTCATCGAGGAGCTTGGGATGCTCTCTAGAAATGAGGTCGGATGCTCAAGTGATTGATTATTTGACCCTTTGAAATGGACTGACGGACTCAGTCTGGCTGGGCTGCCGAGTTGATGTTTCGGACGGACAGACAGACAGACAGACAGACAGACGCACGCAAAGGCACACGCGCGCACAGCCCAGGCTCACCGGGAGGGATTCAGAGAGGACCGTCGTGACCGCAGGTCCCGTTGACTCGCAGCCTGTCACGGCAGCCCGTACACCTCTCGTGTTTTGAACACGGCAGGTTTTGGCTGGTGATCGATGAGACGGGGAACATGGTGACCGCTCGCCAGGAACCTCGCCTGGTCGTGATTTCCGTGACCAGTGAGGGGGACGCCCTGACCCTCCACGCACCCTCCATGGAGGACCTGCTGCTGCCCCTCAGGACGCCCTCTGCAGGCGCGGTGTGGAAGTGCAGGTAAGGGAACGGTGGTCCTTAGTCCGCGGCCACCCCACCCCCCCCACCCCCCGCCCCGCATAGTGTCTGCGCGCGCACTCACGCACGAAGTGTCGAGAAAGCTCAAATTATGGAGGGGATCCTGCGGAAGGTGATCCGGAATGAGCCCGGATTGCAAGGGCACCACACGTGCACGTGGGGGCCAGTCCTCAGTGTCCTGACCGTCTAAAGGGAGGAGGAACAAGGGGTGGGGGGCAGACATAAACGTCCTAGGTGAGGAAACCCTGAGGACAAAAGCGTAGGGACGGATAGCACCACTCGAAGGCTAGAGGACCGGAGTGGGGAGGGAGTGACTGGGGGGACCGGCCTGGGCGAGGTGAGATGAGGTCTGTGTGCGATTTGGGACCTGCCCTGCTTTGCCTGGGTGGACGGGGAACCTTCCCAGTCCCAGCGAGGAGTCACAGGTGGCTCTGACTCGTGAGGTGCAGGTTCCAAAATACAAACGAGCCACCGCCACCAGCGGAGCGATCGGACCTGCGGGTTCCCCGGGGTCCGAGTCCCAGGGGGCCCGAGTCCCAGGGGGCCCCTCTGTACAAAGGGGAACCTGGTCCCCCGCCGTCAGATGAGCTCCGCGGAGGCAGAGATTCCAGGGAAAGTGGCATCGCTTCTAAGAAGTCATGCCTAGGGTTGATTTTTTTAAATCCTCTTGTGGGAAGATGAAAATTTGGCCTAACTGCTCTTTTGTTCCAGTTTCTGGCTTTTGAATAAAAATGCTACATGTAATAATGCATAACCTATTGTAGAATGTATCATCCAAAAATGTAGTTAGCTGAAAAATGTCAGAAGGCCCCCAGAAGTTCATCAAGGGCAATACCAATTATAATTTCTATAATACCCTGGAGTTGTAAACATAATAATACACTTCTATTATAATTTGGTTGGGGTTTTTTTCTGATTACAAAACAAATATACATTCATAGTTGAAAAATGAGAAAATACCGCCCTCCCAAAAGAGAAATGAAACCCACCTGAAATAACAATAGTTAGTATTTTGACATATTTTCTTTCTGTTTCTATGGCAAATACATTTAAAACCAAACTGAAGCAGTGCAAAAAAATCAGAGTCTTGAATACTGTTATATACTTAGTTGATACATTGATATTTTCTCATATTGTCAAAAAAATCTTCAAAAATACCATTTTTCATGTTGGCACAGTGTGTCCCTGTGTGGGGTGTCCTCACATTTAAACATTGGAGTTATTTTTAATTTTTTCCAAGTATGAAGAAGAATGTGATAAATATCTCAGCATAAACCTTTGTTCACATCTCTTATTACTTCCTTAGGGGAAAGTTTTAGCATTGGTTTTGTTAGAAGCAGCAGTATGGGTCCCGTCGGCGTTTTGCTACATGTTGCTGAATTGTTTTTGCAGAATGGTCACCAGCTATACTGCCACAGACAGTTTATTGGGCATCTTTCCCTAATGACATTCTGATCATCATGTTCAAAAATAGTTTGCCATTTGTGTGGGGAAAATGTCTGGCTGATTTAATTTGCATTTTTAATACGTCTATTGTGGTTTCTATTTCGTGTTTGTTCGTATCCGGGTTCCTGCTTGTCTGCAATGATCAGACAGCTGCCCCTTCTTTCTTGTGGTGCAAACTTTTTTCATGTAATTCCTAATGCATCTGCAGTGGTGCAAAAACGTTTCCTTGATCCCATACGGGCTTTGGGCTGTGCCCCAGAGACTGAACAAGAGCATCTTTGGAAACGGCAGACTGAGAAATGCTGAAACTCCTGGGGCAAGATGTCCAGAACCTGTTGGACCTGGGGTTGCCGTTACAGCCCGGGCCATTCTCTCGTGGGGCAGTTGTAACTTCAGCCCACAGTTCCCTGAAGATTCATGTTGGCTTTTGGGAGGCCTCAGGGTGACCTTCAAAAGGTCACGACCATAGCCAGCACACCTGTTTTCATGGTGGAGGTTGTTACTTGATTTTCACGCAAGCCACGCCAACCACAGTTAGGATACAGAGGATTAGGGCCTTTATAAGATTCCTTAGGCAACACTATCTCTGTCAAAGGCTTTAGGGATGTTTGGATTGGGGAGGCTTTATTTATTTATTTGACTTAACATACTTGGGTGTTTTCTAAATTCGTTAGGGTTATACGGGGAATTGCCCTGCCTGGTTTTTAAGTAGTAATGCCCCTCCATGCCCCCGCCATGGCTAAAGCTGAGTAAAAAGACCTTGTGAAACCGGAAAAGACACCGGAGTTCAGGCTGCCTGTCGCTACCAAACCCTATAAGCAATGACAGCAATTGAATCTTCCTGGTCACTTTAGTCAGATGGCCAGCAATCTGAGAATGTGGCAGGTTCACACCCTAACAGATCATCTTGTCTTTCCTTTCCAGGCCAAGGTTTTTATAGCAGGGAATACACAAGGTGTGGTGAGGGGTTTTGAAATTCAGGGAGGGTCAGGTAGAAAAAGCTGCCAACAGTCCTGTCCTGGGTGGTTAGCTGTTCCCAGGGCCAGGTGGTCGCCTGCCCCTCCCTGAAACACAATGGCTGGATGCCTCCACTTGGCCCCAGGTGGTAATCTCCAGTAGTGCCCCAGGGGAATGACTGACTAGCCAATGAGGGGTAAGATTCCTCAAGGGAGGGACGACCTAAGACAGGCATGGTCACAAGGGGTCATCAGGGAAGGAGTTGGGGGGCTGTAGAAAAAGGGGGTGATGGACCCTCGCCATTGACTTTGACATAGCCTGAGTCCCCATTCTGTCTATAAAAAGTCTCCTAATCTCTTGGCTGCCCACATGCCCCACCTGCCTGAAGCCTGAAACAACGCTGGAGGTGGGCGCGCCCCGTGTTGGAATGTGCAGTTTCCCCAGGGCGATCAGGCCTAAGAAAGAACGCATAAAATCCTGTGAAACCTGCTTTGCTAAGAATTCCCTCAATTTTCTGATCAGGGTCCAAGCATAAAATGAGTTTGTTACCCAAAGTTTTATGGCCCTTTTGCTATCTAACCCTGACTCAGAATAAGTCCTCATAGTTCCTTGAATGTTATTTATTGTTTGATCATTACCGCCTAACAATGATTGATGAGCTTTACACCCTGTATTCCTATGCAAATTAAACCCAATAAAAGCCCACAAGGAATGGTCTCAAGGCCCTTCTCCTCTGAGAGATTGACTACCTTTACTCCCCAAGTAGATCACGTCTTGGTAGAATTATTCTCACCCACGGTGGCTGCAGAGCTCCGCCCCCTCCCACAGGATTAATGTTAGAATGATTACATTGCTTCCCAAGATGACTACTTTGAAAGGTAATAGGCATTGGGGTGGATGAATTTTGGTGTTTTTATTTTGTTCATTTTATTTATTCTTTCTCTCGACCAGCAAAGAGCAAGGCAGATAGATGATCCTGTGTTTATCCTCACAGCTTGTGTACATCAGCCCTCTGACCGTTAGGAGGTCAATTTAGAATGGGCAGGAAGGGAGAAATAAAATTTTTTTTGCAGATATAAAGATCTTATAAAGAGAACATCTTAAGGACTCCACTAAAATAGTGCAAGAACTAATCAACAAATTCAGTGAAGCTGCAGGATAAAAAAATCTGCATACAGAAATCACGTGTGTTTCTAAACACTAACTACAAAATAGCTGAAGAGAAATATAGAAATCCATCCCATTCACAATAGTTTGTATCAGAAACAATAAAATACTTGTAAATAATTTTAACCAGTGAGGTGAAACATCTGTGCACTGAAAGCTACAAGACACTGATGAAAGACATTGAGGAAGACACAAGCAGATGAAAAGACATTTCCTGGTCATGGATTGGAAGAATTAATATTGTTAAAATGACCATACTACCCAAAGCCATCCACAGATTGAATGCGATCCCTATCAGAATTCCAATGGCATTTTTTCACAGAAATAAAAGAATATAATCCTAAAATTTGCATAGAACCACAAAAGACCCACAAAACTGGAGGCATCACACTTCCTGATTTCAAACTATACTCCAAAGCAATAATAATCAAAACAGTCCTGGCATGAATACAACCAATCAATGGACCAGAATCAAGAGCCCAGAAATAAACCCATGCCTGTATGGTTGACTAATATTTGACAAGAGCGCCAAGAATAATCCAGGGGAAACGGACCGTCTCTTCAATAAATGGTCTCGAGAAAACTGGATATTCAATCACAGAGGCAGGGACGGGGTAAAATTGTGTCTCCTGATAATTTAGGAATTGATAGGGGACTTAAAAGTTCGAAAATTTTAGTTTAAGGTAAAAAGTGATAAGCTTAGCAAGGAATGTATATGTTAAAGCTTTTGTTTCAGAAACTACAGATAAGGCCCACTCTCGCTCCTGGGAAAACAGCCGACCTCCTGGGGCACTGCTGAAGATTACCACCTGGGGGCAAGTGGAGGCATCCAGGCCATTGTGTTTCAGGGAGGGGCAGGCGACCACCTGCCCCTGGGGACAGCTAACCACCCGGAACAGGAATGCTGCAGCTTCTTCTACCTGACCCTCCCTGAATTCCAAAACCCCTCACCACACCTTGTGTATTCCCGGCTATAAAAACCTTGTCCTGGAGAGAAAAGACAAGATGGTCTGTTAGGGTGTGAACCTGCCACCTTCTCAAATCGCCAGCCATCTGACTAAAGTGACCAGGAAGATTCAATTGCTGTCATTGCTTATAGGGTTTGGTAGTGACAGGCAGCCCAAACTCCGGTGTCTTTTCCGGTTTCAGAATGACAGTGACATCATAGTTTGTTGTGACTTTTCTGATATGGGCAGGGCATGGTAGGATGTCCAGGTTTTCAAAGCCATGGCCATTCTTTGCTCCTGCCACCCTTTCAGGGTTCACGGCCTGGAGATCCAGGGCAGGGATTGCGGCGAGGCGGCGGCCCGGTGGGTCACCAGCTTCCTGAAGACCCGGCCCTGCCGCCTGGTGCATTTCGAGCCTCACATGCGACCCAGGAAGTCCCACCAGATGAAGGACGTGTTCCGGCCCACAGACCAGGTCAGAGGCTCGGTCCTTGGCTTTGGCCTTCGGGGTGTCCTTTGGGAGGCAGGCTCCCTCGGCGCTGAGCGCTGTCCGTCCCAGTCTCCAGCCGTCAGACAGGGTGCATGTTGCTGAGCTCAGCCCTGCTGTTTGGCTGGGCGGCCCGCAGGCGACAGCAACGGGCAAAACCACAGCGCTTCCCTTAGCAGCAGCATCTGTGTATCGGGGGAGAGCCTTGTGTCTTTGGCTCCGAGCGCCTACCTGGCTATTTATGCAAGCTGCTGGTGCTCTTGGGGTTTCTTTCTTTTTTTTTTTTAAGATTTTATTTATTTATTTTTAGAGAGGGAAGGGAGGGAGATAAAGAGAGAGAGAGAGAAACATCAATGTGCGGTTGCTGGGGATTATGGCCTGCAACCCAGGCATGTACCCTGGCTGGGAATCGAACCTGCGACACTTGGGTTCTCAGCCCGGGCTCAATCCACTGAGCTATGCCAGCCAGGGCGCTCTTGGGGTTTCAAAGCGGTTCTGTGCAGCGTCTTTTCTGCTCCCGTCTACCACCGCGTGGGGAGTCTGGCCTCTGGACAGCGGGAGCGCACTGGGGGGTCAGGTCACAGTGGGGCAAACGGGTGTGGGTGTGGCGACCCACGGGCTTGAGGTGACCGGACTGGCCCTCCCAGGGACCGGGCTGCTCGTCTTCATCGTAGCAGCGGGGCCGGTAGCACGAAGCCATGGGGTCCAGTCACTAGACCGTTAACAAATGAGGGTCGTCAGAGCCCCTCGAGTCCCTAACACTGATTGGCAGGTTGCGTTAACAACGAAGTACCCACGAACTCAGAATGACTTTTTATTCACGCATAATGAGGTCATCGCACCCAACCACCTCACTAAAACAACTGTGAAGCTAGAGGCTTGAAAACGGGGGCTGGCTTCCCCAAGGGCACCGGCCCACTGGCTGCTCTAGGATCCCAAGTTCATGTCCTCTTCTCTCCCCGCTATAATCCCTGTGATCTGCAAGGCTGGTTAAAGCTTCGGAATCACTGACTTTCCCGTAACGTGGACCAGAGAAATAGTTAGAAAGACTGTGGGCAGGGGGGACTGTGGGTCGGGTTCCAAGGACTGGCTGGGCGGGTGACCACTGAGAAGCCCCCCGGGGCCCCTGTGTAGTAACAGTTTCTGCCCCGATTCAGGTCGCTTACGCCGACGCCAGCCCTCTCCTGGTCCTCTCGGAGGCCTCGCTGGCCGACCTCAACGGCCGGCTGCAGCAGAAGGTCAAAGCCGCCAACTTCAGGCCCAATATCGTCATTTCGGGGTGTGCCGGCTACGCGGAGGTAACACTCCTTCCTTGCCCTTTTCCTTGATTTTTTAAAAAGATTTATTTATTTATCTTTAGAGAGGGAAGGGAGGGAGAAAGAGAGATAGAGAGAAACATCAATGTGTGGTTGCTGGAGGCCCTGGCCTGCAACCCAGGCATGTGCCCTGGCTGGGAATCGAACCTGCGATACTTTGGTTCTCAGCCTGTGCTCAATTCACTGAGCTACGCTAGCCAGGGCTGCTTGATTTTTAAGGTGCAAGCGTCTTTGGCTTTCTACTAGGTGATTTCTAAAGATGTGTTATTTATTGGCCCCTTCCGACACGGCGCCCCTTTTCAAAGTGCTGAGCCCCCATCCGTGTGGGGGATACAGACGCATGCGCTCCAGGCGGAGGTGTGGCTTCCGGGGGCCGGCGGAGCTGCGTCCCGCTCCAAAGCCTCTCCCACACCCACGTCCTTTCCCCTCCAGGGGCAGTGCTCTGGCAGGAGGATATTCACGGATTCCTCACCAGTGTTAAACACAGCTCTGGGCCCGTGCTCGGCACTGAATATGCAATAGTTTCTCCTTTTCTTCCCCTTTTCCAAACACTGTAGAATCTTTCCTTACATGGTGGATTTTTTACCTAATGTATCTGTGAATCAATTCCTAGCAGTTTTTATTGCACGTAAAAGAAGCTGTGGAAATATTTCTTAAATGAATTTCCTCGCTGGAACTCTTTCTCCTTGTGGGATCTTTTATGGGTTTTTTTACAACAGTGCCCCCTGGTGGGATAGTGTGTACATGACAGGCTGTTGTAAAAAGGTGCCCAGCTTCCTGGCCTGCTGAGAAATGGGCAGTTAAGGGGCCCATTTCCTGACGTGCGAGAAAAGCCTGCGATACACATATTAGGGATAATGCACACTATGGGAATTAAAATTCTGAGTCTGGGACTCTGTCTCTGGGTTGTGGTCACCAAAGCAAGGGGCAGGTGAGGTTCAGCTTATGGGCTTTGATCTTCAGCCCAAGGTCAGGATAGCAGTCTGATGTTCTTGTCTCCCAGTGTCCCCCCTTCTAACGATGGCCTGGAGCCCCCTCATGCTTCCCTGTTCCTCTCAAAATCTGCACCCCGGGAGACTCGGTACCAATCCCCCCTCTCCCGAAAACCCTGAAGATTTGTCCTCTAACGCCCCAGGACAATTCTCACCTGCACGCTTCCACCAGCACGAGCCGTGATACCTTCCGAGACCTTTTCTCGCTTTTCCGGAACCTCTAAAAAGCACAGTGGTCATTAACTTTTCAAATGTGGGTGTCGTGTCTCCCCTGCTTGGTTTCAGGGGTGCAGCTGATTGCTATGAGTTGTCCTGAAAAGTGGGCAGTGGGGACCCCGGCGCAGCTGTCCTCAGAGGCTGCGGAGCTTCCGGGGCTGGCGGGCTCTGTGAGTCCCCGGCGGGGAGGCGGAGAGGACAAGGCCCCAGGGCCTGCTGTTGATCCGTCCCCCTCGGCCAGGGGAGTTGCAAGACTCACGCATGCAAAGATTTTAGGGTCTTAATCCTCCTTCACTGTGCCCCAGACAATCTGACACAACCTCTCTCCAGCTGCCTCCTCTCTCTCACCCACGCCTCTGCCCTCTTCTTCCCCCGGCCCCCTCGAGTCAAGCAGAGGCAGTCCCGGAGGCTTCCTGCAGGAGGCAGCCTTCCATCACAGCTTGACAAGTAGTAGGAGAGGGAGCATTTCCCTTCCAGTGAATGAACTGACACCATCCGAGGCACAGAGACAAGGGGGACAGGAAGGCGTGTGGCTTCTCAGGACTGGTGCGCAGCCTGCTGTCTCCCCGTCTTCGGTGCGAGTTGCCAGGCAGGGGGAGGGCCCAGGAGAGCTCCTGTGAACTGTGACCTTTGCGTTCCGCCCCCTAGGATTCGTGGAACGAGCTTCGTGTTGGAGGCGTGGAGCTGAGGAGGGTGATGGCTTGTTCCAGGTAAGGTGCTCCAGCCACCGGCTGGGGGAAGGACGGGAGGGGCGAGGCCGCTCTGTCCCGGGGGTGATGCTCTGTGGGTCTGTGTGCCCAGGTGCATTCTGACGACAGTGGACCCGGACACCGGCGCCATGAGCAGGAAGGAGCCGCTGGAGACGCTGAAGAGGTAGGAGTGGGAGGAGGGGCGGGATTTAGTGTCTCCAGGGAGGAGCAGTGAAATCCACCACACGCACAGTCTTGGGGCTGGTGGGGGGCCTGGCGGCTGAGGATCTGGGAAACATGCCTGTCGGTTGGGGCCCCAGAATGTCTGCGTGCGCACAGGACTTTCATTTGCAGGGAGATTTCATGGTTCAAACAAACCAATTTAAAATTATTTAGGTATGTTAGCACATTGTATGACTGATGGAGTACTAGGTGATACTCAGAATGTGTTGGGTGTTATGAGGACATGGAGGTGACGTAAGACACACCCATTTGCCGTGGAGAAGGGTGTTGACGTGTGCAGGGGAGCAGGCATGACATCTGGGACGTGCTGCAGACAGTGATGTCCAAAAACAAAAAAAAAGGATACAGGAAAAAATGTGTCATATTCTCGAGAAATAGAATTTGGGTAATAACTATGGGATTCCTTACCCTCTTCTTTCTCCTTTTACATTTCCTTTAAGATTTCCATTCAAGAACTTAATGCAAAAGACACAATTATAGAAAAAAGTTTACATCATAGCAAGTTAGGATAACATTAATTTTTAAAAGCTTCTACAAAACAGCACATACTGTACTTACGTTTTTGTTACTCGATTTTACTTTTTAAATGCTATAAATGCACCTGAGTAGATAAAAGGCTAGAAGGCTGTGAACCGAACTGCCCACGGAGACGGTCTTTGGGTAACGGAATCATGAGAAAAGCATCTATGCAGGGGTGGGGAAAAGGAGGTTTGCAGTTGTAACACAAACATAATACAACTGCTAAGGAATCATGACACAGGAGTAGACTCTTTCCTTGCACTCACAACTGTGAACCTCATTTTGTCCATCCCCGTGTGTTCGTACACGTCCCCTCTAAACTCCCGACCGCCGGCCTGCATTGCTTCGCTGGAACAATTCAGGATCCGTACACTTCCGTGCCGCCATCTGTCAAATCCGGGAGGAGACACTGGCGAAACTCCGAGCGTGAACCAGTCGTGCTCGTCTTCATGGGCTCCTTCCAGAGGCAGGTGGGGTGTCAGGTCTCATCGCAGCCACCCCTGAGTCTCTTTGGCCTGGACCCTGACCTGTGCTCCCAGGTGTCACTTGTAGAGCATGAGGGGGGAGCCGTGGAGGGAGCCATGGGCGCCCCCTGGAGTGTGAGTCCCGCTGCTTCCTCTTCCTTCCAAGCTCTCACTGAACTCGTGGCTTTTTGGGGGGCCAGCAATTCAGTCTCTGCCGCTGATCTCGTTGCCCTGGAAGTGACTCTGGCCCCTCACTGTGGGGGACCCCTGGCTCTGCTACACGTGACCGATGTGATGATCACTGGGTCCCCCTCTGGCCCCGGCGCTGGCTGCTCTTCTCCAGGAAGTGAGAGGGACAGGGCAGAACTGGGTGACACTGTGTCAAACCGGCCCAGCGACTGGGGAAAGTGGCCGTCGTCCTTTATCGTACGTCTGGTTCTCCCTGCCCCCCACACATGGCTGGGCCTCTGGGCCCTCTCCCCGTGGACCTGCCCAGCGCCTGCCCTGGCAGACCGGCCTTCTGAGATGACGCCTTGTGTCTGGGCAGCTCCTCGGAGTCCTCAGTGCCCCCCCCCCGCCCCCGCCATTGGGAACCTGCGTTCACAGAGGATAAATGACCCCAAACGCGGAGGGATCCCAAACACCGGCAGGCCGGGGTCGCAGGGACCGGCCAGCTCTCCTGATCCTCTGCAGACTTGTTGCGGACCCCCAACTCCCTCCCCCAACTGCCCCTAAGCCCCCAGGAGACAGAGCAGCCAGACTAGGTGTCTTCTCCTACCTCTCACTGAGATTTAAGTTGCCAGCGCGGTAGTAATTGATGTTCTCCCCGGGACAGGTACCCATACATCTTGCAGAGAAAGCCAGCCGCGTGACATAAATCCTGGGAAGCAAAGCAAACGTGGTGTCCAGGGGCTGTGGAGGCCTCTGCTGGCCTGTCACCCGCAGGCCAGAGGCTAGGGGGCTCTTTGTCTGTGAAACAGTCAGGAATTAGTCTTTCCTTTCTCAAGGGGCAGTGGCTTCCACGCTTACAGAGTGGCGAGAGGTTACCGTTCTTGCTTCCAAAGCATCTTGCTCCTCAGAGGAAGGAAAAAGCCCGTTTGCTTCGCGGATGCATCAGCGCGGTTGGATAAATGAATACTGCGACAATAACGACATTGGCCCTGGCCCCGCGCGTTAGGTTGCGCCGTGCTGAGCTACAGGAGGGAAGATACAGTGACGGTGACACACTCCACCCCCATCTGGCGCATCACCTGCTCATTGTGTGACATTAAGTCCCTTGGTTTCTCCAGGTCTCTCTATTCGCAAAAGGCTCGGCGTGCAGACTTCATAACCGCTTGCAATACTTCCTTGTGCCCACAAGAGGGCGCCGCTGGCCTCATTTATGGAGCCCCCGCCGCAGGGGCGGTGTTAGCAGGAGCTGGAGGGGGGGCCAGAATTGGGTTGGGTGGGCAGGGCCAGAAGGCACCCAGGGAAGCCGGGGCCAACTGGGCCACAGAGGGCCACATTTCGCTCCCGTAGTGCTTCCATTTCTATTCCAAAACAGTGCAGTGGGCCACCACCTGCGAGCCAGGCAACCAGAGCTGTGCTCGTACAAACCCACGCCCTGGCCCCACTCGCCGCCGTTAAAGGGCTCCTTTGGCCCCCGGACTCCAGCGCCACCGCGGGGGTTGGGGGCTGGGAGTGGGATGTGAGTGGTTGGTGAGTGGGGTCAGGCGAAGCCCCGGAGTGGCTATACCTCCGCGTGGACGAGCAGATGTTGCCCATGTCCACCCTTGCCCGGCCCCTGCGTGTCCTCACCGGGTCTGGGGATGCCCAGGGCCACACCCCTGACCGAAAGGGTCCTAGCTACGGAGCCAGCCAGGCCTGGGTTCTGGGCACAGCCCGACCCTTAGATCTGGGGTCTCGGGCAAGTCGGTTACTCCCCTGAGGCCCACCTGTGGGATGGGGGTGACCCCAGTTCCCGCGTAGGCCTGCTGTAAAGACTGAGAGGTGGCAGGTGTGACATCCTTGATAAACTGTCCATGTGTGATGCCCACGGCTCCGAGTCTCAGCTCCCTCCCGGGACGACCGGAAGCCCAGACTACAGAGCCTGGCAGTGAGGAGACACCCCGAGTCACACAAGCAGCTGGTCCCCGCCCCTTGAACCTGAAGAGACCACCCTCTGACCTGCACAGATCCCCAGGGGCGTCCCCGGTGTTGCACACTGACAGAGGAGGGGCAGGCCAGGAGGGGCAGGCCAGGAGGGGCGCCTGGAGCCCGGGGTCCAAGTTCACGGCAGAAACCTGACTACGGAGATTCGACCCTCACTCTTCTCATTAGCCGTTTCTGTTTCTGTGTGGAGAAAGCAACCAGGACCCAGGTGTTGCAGTAGTTTTTGTTTTTTTTCCCAAGCATGATACAGCGCAATGGATGCTTTCCGTAAAAAGTGTTTCATGCATCAAAGTGATGGAAATTGGCGTTAGTTTAAATGAGACACCGAAGGACAACTTTCTCCTGGGGAGGGTGGAGGGGGTGCCTCTTGCCGTGTTGTTCACAGACGTCCGCTGCCCCAGGCGCCTCTGGCCTTCTCGCTCTGACAGAGGAGTTCACACCACCACCGCTCACAGAGGGCTTCGCTCACCGACACGTTCGTCTGTTCCTCGGATGACTGTGGGCCTGTGGTGACATCGGGCCCACGCTGGGTGGGCGCCGCACAGGGGACTTGGCGCAGTCCCTGCTCCCCAGGGACTCCCCGTCTTGCGGAACAGACACATGCACCCTCACACTACACAACCAGGCCTGTGAGCGCTCGAGGCCCAGGCAGGGAAAACTGAGGAGGGGTCGTTACTCCTGGCTGGGGTCTCCTGGGCTTCTTCCTACCTGGGAAGGCGCCATTTGACCTGGGCACTGAGGACAGGGTACAGTTTGCGTGCATGGGAACTGGGGAGGGGGTATCCCACCAACCCAGTAAAATGCAAAGGGGACGGGACCTGGAGGAGACCAGGGCAGTGCTGCGGAGGTGCCTGTGAGGGGCAGGGGGCGACGGGTGTGGAAAGGCTGTCCGGGGCCAGGCAGAGGCCCTGGGACGCTGGGCTGCGCAGCTGGAGTGTTATTCTCTCGGCACTGGGGAGCCACTGAGTGTTTCCCAGCCCAGGAATGACCAGGCGGGGGTAGGAAGAAGAGTTGGAAGGGAGGGGGCGGGGGGAGGAGGAGGAGGACAGGCAGGGTGAGAAGTTGGTGCCGCAGTCGGAGCCTGCTGGAAGCACGCTTGTGATGTGGCGGAAGGGGGCGAGTCCAAAGGGCGGGGTGCGGGAGGAATCCCGGGGCTTGGCCACCGGGCGCCAGCTCTGGAAAGCCAGGGCAAAGGTGTAAGGGATGAGCTCAAACTGACTAGCGGGACGGGGGTCCTGGTGCCAGACGTGAGGAGCCAGGAGGAGAGATGTCGGGGAAAAGGAAGGTGGTAGCGCAGGTCTAAACACGTGAAGCACGGGCAACGTGCACGTGCACGGAGAAGGAGGTGGGGATGTGGTCGCTGGTTGCAGTTCTGCAGCGTGTGCACGGGGAGGCGCTGTTCTGGTAGACTTGGATGGGGGTGGCGCCGTGGGGTGGGTTCTCAGCTCCACCGACGGGAAAGCGCGTGCGGGTGGAGTTCTTGCTAATGCGTGGCCGTGACTCCTCCTAATCTCTCTCCCACTGTAGTTACCGCCTGTGTGAGCCTTCTGAACAGAAACTCTATGGAAAATCGCCTCTCTTTGGACAGTACTTTGCCCCGGAAAGCCCGGGCACCATCAAAGTGGGAGACCCCGTGTACCTGCTGGGCCCCTGATAGGAACCACGGGTCCTGGCAGATGTCCTCCAAAGATGTCCTCAGAAATGCCAGCGCTTGCAGAACAGCCTTTGGGAACGGAGCCCTCCGCGTTTTCTTTAGATCTGTGATTTCCAAGTCTTTCCTCTGTCGGACGTCCCAGTGCTCAAAGCAGAGAAATACACTCTCGACAGCAAAGCCGGACTTCAGGAAGTCACTTCAAGGACAAGATTCTGAAACCGTGTTTAACTGCGGCTGTGGGATAATTCTTTCTCCTGCTTCTACATTCGTCTACCCAGAACTCTCACCTCCACCACCACCTCCTTACCTGCTCCCCAGGGACAGAGAAAAGAAGAGAAAGAGGAAGAGTGGGCGAGTGAGGGGAATGTTCTGGAATGTTCCGGAAGGTTTTATTGCCGTGTATGGAGGGCACGCCATGGAAATTAAATACCTCCCCAAATAAGGCTGGAATATCACTTTGCTTTACCCCTCAAGCCCTGGGCTGGCTCTTGGAAGGACCCTCAGGGACCATGTAAGAACCACAGCTCTTCTTGGATCTGGCCCGGCTGCCCCTCCGTCAGTGTCCATGGAGATTTGGTGAACCCTCGTCAACACGCAGCCTCTGGGCTGTGGGACAGCAGAAGTGTCGGGCTGGACGTCCCACCTGTGACAAGGTGGCTGTCACACGCTGATAAGGAAACATGTGAAAAGCAAGACCAACCAAAACGTCCCTGCGGTGAAACAAGAGTATCAGACACATTCCACTCATGATCCAGGGCTTCTCCCGACGGGTGACAGTGAGCAGCAGCACCACAGAGGGGAGACCCCCGGTGGGATGCTGTCTGAGATGCCCGTTGATGTTGCCCGGGAAGGAAAGGTAGGGCGCCTCTGCAGGTAAGAACCCAAAGGAAGCTTCTTGGCAGGAAGTGGTGCCATCTAGTGGCACTGGAGGGCAACGCAGGCTATGCTGTTGAAAAGACTGGGGGAAAAAAAAACAACTGTGGGTGGGGTTTAGTTTTCTGTTAGAATATTTTTTTTTAAGGAAGTCGGGTACCCTCCAGGTGTTTTCTGCTTCTCTGCCAGCGTCATATGCGTTCCTGAAAGGGTGGCTGTGCTGTCCCGGAGCGCTCCCGGGCCCTCGCAGCCCCATCAGTGCATGACCGGGCGCTCATCTTCAAGTTCAGGGCGAGAAACCTCTGAGGTCCACAGACAGGAAGAAACGTGATTGTGTGATTCAGAATAAGCCACTGAAGACCTCTCAGGGGAGAAAGGGAAAACGGGCCCATTCATTGAAAAACCAATGTCTGCTTTTTCTGTTGATGGAACGAGGGAACTACCTTCCGACAAAGTGTATCGTCACTGTTCTGTGCTTTGATTGTGTTATTAGGGAGCCGACAAAATCATGAAAAGAAGAGTTTCAAAAATGTAAATAAAAGGAAGCTACTTTGACTAGTTTCAGATCTCATTAACTTCTGGGCTCTGGGGGCGGCCCTGAGGGCTGACTCAGGAGGGCGGGAGGGAAAGCCAGCGGTGCTGCTGCGGCCTGGGGCTCGCGGGCCCGGTCCTGCTCACACAGCAGCCCCAGCAAACCCCTGTTTTTGAAGGAGCATCGAGTGACTGTGGTTTGGTTTTGTTTTGTTTCGTTTTACCAAAAGCTGTGCATTTTTCACTGGTTTTATAAAAGGGGTCAGAAATGGTTGGAATTGAGCCTATCTCGAAGATAAAATGACAAGGTAGCAGGTGCATGCCTATATGTTTTCTGGGCAGTGAATTATTGCAGTTTGTGTTCCGCACACTTGCTGTGTGGTGAAGAATTCAAAGATTCAAGTGACCTGGCTCATCCTGTTTCCCCCGTAAGTCCGCTTTATGTTGAACCTGCAGATAGATTGTGGCAAAAATAAGAGTTCGGCGGAGAAGCATGACTAGTGGGACCTGGGGAGCCCACGGGAGAAAGCCCACGGGGTTTAAGAAACTATGTGAATGTTGGCTTTCCAAGGGTAGCCAAGAGTTAGGAACCAATGAGACACTCAAGGCTGGTTGGGCGGTTGGACCTGGGTGTTTGTAGTCGGGCAAGCAGGGTGCCTTGGACATGAACTTCGGACCCTCCTAGGCAGTAACGCACTTCCCCAGCACATGCCCCACCTGTGCAAAGGCCACACTGTGCGCAGGCCTGTTGTCTTCCTGCATTGCAGGGTTATCCTCAGACGGAGGGGACACCCCTTCTCTGTTCCTCGGAGTGTGGGGAAGACTCCTGTTCGAAGACAGAGGTTCCAATGGCCTCAGAGTCTCCAAGTAGTTGCCAGGCTTCCTGTCAATGAGATTTAAAAGCCATTTGCTTGCATTTGTTTGATATTTATGAGCTGGTTAATGCTACAGGCAGGGCCGAGGTCACGTTATTTTGGATACTGAACATTTGCACACCCTTCCGCTTGAACTGTGGTATCGGGGATAGAGATTGCCCCTGACCCTCAGGAAGGTCCTGCGGCTGCAGGTGGTGGAGAGTCAAGGTCAAAGCCTCCGGCCTGGATGGGTGCTTCATTCTGGTGGCGCCTTTGGGCTGCAGTCACAGTGGGGCTAGGAAGCCAGAGCTGGACATCTGGCCATGGGCAGTGTGGGAGGGGCTCTGGGTGGGCTGCTGAGCGGCTCCATGGAAAAAGTTAGAAATTCGCAACCAGGTGATAAAAGTGGCCTCTTCTACACGCAAGGGCAGAAAGAACTCAGGTGCACTCAGAAAGTGAGGCGGAGGTGTGGCAATGAGAAATGCCCCTCCTGCCCCAGCATGCCTAGTGGTTTGGGGGCAGGGTGAGCAGTTTTTGGTAAAACTATGGGTGCAGGCTGGGTGCGCCTGACCAGCCGAGTGTGACTCTGGGAAGCCCCCTATGGGGCTGTCACGGCCAGAGCTGGCAAGCTGGGAGTGCCTGGCAGGTGCCCCCACTCCCGCCCCCCGGAACTCTGAGAGTGTGACAAGCTGGGACAATCCACAGTGGCAGACAGAGCAGCTCCCAGACCAGGCATCCATCGCAGGGGTAGCCGGGGTGCTGCAGCCGTGTCCCAACACCACACTTCCCCACGGTTCGTCGGCCCACGCAGTTCGGGAAGGCTGCCCGGAGGGACACTTCTCGGAGAGTTCCGTGCCCCAGGAGCTTTGGGAGTCCTGCGTCTGCCTCACTCCTCCTCAGAGGCCAGCAGCCCACTGAAGGCTCTGGAGACCCGCAGGGAAGAATGCTCTTGGTGGTTCATGCCGCCCTCCCTGAGGGGGTGCTGTCTCTGGCCCCCTGGGAGAAGCACCGCTCCGATCTCCAGGGACCGCCAGCCAGGGCAAGGAATCGTGGGGAGCAGGAAACGCACGTGCCCGGGAAGGCAGAGGAAGTTCACGGGCACCCTGGTCAGGTGGAGGAGGACTCTCTTGGCATGCTTCCCCTTGTCTTCTCCCCGGTGGGAGGACGGGACTGGGGCTTACAGGGTAAAGGATGTGTGGAGAGGGTGTCTGAGGCCAGCTTTCCTGTTACGGGTCTTAGGGAGAAGTGTTCCCTTTGGACTCGTTTTCCAAACCCTCATTTGGAGATGGATAGGCGGACCAGGGAGAGAAGGAGGCACAGACCCTCTGTCCTGGCGTTACAGCAGTACCACGTAACACAGATGCCCCAGGATGCTCCTTGGGCCGGGAAGGGCACCGTCTTGCTGTCTGCTAGCCTTACCTCCTGTGGCGACGCCTGCCAAGCAGAGCTGCTCCCAAGACGTGAAGCAGAATTCCCCCAGGGCCCCTACTGCCCCCGGCCACACGTGAACACGCACTTTATACTGTGATCTCCTATCAGGAAGACCAGACTTTGTCTGCCTCTACCACGTTCCTAGCAATGGACAAGAGAGTTATGGTGGCGTCTCGTTACCCCATTTCAAGCAAGGGGAAGACTCTGGCTCCACACCACTAATGTTTTTGGAATGGGGATCATACCAGCATATATATTTTTTACATCTGAGGGATCTCAGTGTCAACCCTGACTGTCTTCGGAGAAGGAGGAGGCCCAGGCCAGAGCGTTGACTGGGACCCTGCTGTCCCCTCAGACACAGCTGATGGGGGCCTGGTGGGGCCACCCGGTCCCATGCTCCTCCCCTAGCTCAGAAGGAGGAGTTGCCTTAATCCCACTATCAGTCTTCGAGGACGGGCTGTAGGTCGTATTAAGTAACAAAGGGGGCTGAGAAATGGCTTCCCGTCCAACTGCTTCCCACGCTGATGGGTAGGTCAAGTTCACTCTTGCTTGGCTATTGACCAACCTAATCTAACCCCCCTTGGTGTTCCTCAGTCACGCTCCCTTCCCTTCACAGAACATTCTAGACTGCTCTTTCTCCTTCCTCCCTTATAAGAGCATAGCCTTGAATTTCACCCCCTTCATTCCCTTGTTTCTGCCCCCCACCAACCCCTGACCTGTGGCCTCCAAGCCCAGACTCCCGCGCCGGTGGAGCCCCGTGGCCTCCAAGTCCAGTCTAACTCTCTCTCCCTCTCTCTGGGATTTGCTGGGGCTGCTGTCAATAAAGTACCATCGTCCTCGCTGTTTCTGACGCATACCTTTACCCCTAGGAACGTCTTGGAGAGATTGTATTTGCTTGGTCTCGGGGAGGGACACCTTCCAGATGAGTTGCTCAAGCAATTAAAGCGGCCTCGTTAGCCAGAGGCCGGGCCGGCGGAGGACAGCTGGAGGGCTCTCCTTTGCAGGCGGCTCTGGTTAACATCAGCCCAGAAAGCTCTCTGTAAACACGTGAATAATGGATCACCCGGCGCTCGCGGAGCTACCGAGGATCTGAGCCCGCATGACTCATCTGCGAGCCTTTCCTGTCGTCTGGATGCCATAACATTGGAGGAATGATGACCGTTTCTTGGAGATTCTTCTGTGGCGAGAGTTGCCAAGACCCGGGCCGTAATGGTTTGTTATGATGACCTTTGTTATTCCATTAGGGCTCAATTGCTTTAAAAAATGATGTGCGCATACTTTCGGAACGTTTTCACCCTTTACGTTGACCTGACATCGTGGTTTATATTACCAAACGTATTAATGACAGAGGAGTGTTTTCATGTCCCAGGGACAAATTTTAACAAGCATAATCTGCCCTGAGCCATCATAAATATAAATGTATTGGTCAAACAGATCTCGTTAATGTGGCCAAGATAAATGCAAGTCTATATTTTAAGGCAGTTGAAGTCCTAGGGAATGTATTTGGAGCTTTTTGTGGGGGGGCTGAGATCTGGTACCTGAGCTGAGAAAACGGAGAAAATTAACGATTCCCCCTCCAGTTTTAGGCTGGACAGATTTCAACGTCTTGAGGATGTCGAGTAAGATTGCTCACATAGTTTCTGGACACTGTTAATGCCTGGGGGGGTGGTGAATCTTAGTTCTGAAAGCCGTATTCTTCTCAGTCTGCTGACAAAATAGAGATTCTTGAAAAGGGACAAAATGAAGATTTCAAGTCTTCACTGTGTGTTGCTCAACCATGGTTTCTTGAGCTCCACCCCCTCTTGGAGTTTTGATTATATCAATCGCCCTCCTGCACCCCGCTCCGGCGCCCATATTGTGTTCCCTGGGGAGGTGTCCCTTCTCCTCGGCTGTTTCTGACATTGTGCATCGTTCCAGCGGGCACCCCGCGTGCCGGCAGCCGCTGCCCCAGGCGCGAGCTGCAGGACAGCTCAAAGCCCCCGCCTTCTTCCTCGTGACGTCACACTCAGAAGCGTTGGCCTTTCCTCACGGCGGCCACAGTTTAAGCTTCTCAGGCAGGATGTAAATCCTTGTTTCAGAAACGCTTGCCAGTGGCGTTTTCATCCTGAACCGTGACATGGCATGGAAGGCAGTTAGGGCGCAAAGACTAGTCTCTGAGAAGACAGACTGTTCACAGGGGTGAGTTCATCCCGCCCCCCCCCCCCAGGTATGGTAAACACGGGGCCCTGGTGAACCTCCGTGTGCATCGTGGTCCCCTGGCTGAGGGTGCTTCAGAGACAGCCAGGGACCTTCTTGACGTAGCAGAATCTTCCCTTCTCCATCCCCTGTGGCCTCTGGCGGGATCGCACCTGGGGCTTCAGAAATGCGATTCTGCCTGGAACGTCTCTGGGAGTAGAGATTGGATTATTTTTGAGATTTTATTGGTAGGAGGACAGTGCTGTGATACTCTGGGCGTGTGAAATTGTTTGATCTGTTCCCCAAAGCAAGGCCCATACAACCTTGTCCATAGCAGCACTGTCCACCGGGGCCCAGGGTAGACGCAGCCCAAGTGTCCGCCGACAGAAGAGTGAATGGGCGACCTGTGGCGGATGCACACGACGGAATGTTACTCCGCCTTAAACAGGAAGGGGATTGTGACACACGTGACAGCGTGGATGCCCTTCAAAGACATTGTGCTGAGTGCAATAGCCAGCCACAAGAAGACAAATACTGTCGATTGCACGCATATCTGAGATGCCTGCAGTCGGCAGGGTCATAGCGACAGGAAGTGGGATAGGATGGTGGCTGCCGGGAACTGGGGGGCGGGGGCGGGGGGACTGGGACTTCCTGTTTCATGGGGACCGAGTTTGAGTTTTGCAAGACAAAAGGAGCTCTGGAAATGCACGGTGGTGGTCGCACAATAATGTGAATGTACTTGATACTCTGGACATGCACTTACAGATGGTTACAAGGGGCCCTGGCTGGCGTAGTTCAGTGGATTGAGCCTGGGCTGCGAACCAAAGTATTGCCAGTTCGATTCCCAACCAGGGCACATGCCTGGGTTTCAGGCCACCGCCCCCAGCAACCGCACATTCATGTTTCTCTCTCTCTCTCTCTTTCTCCCTCCCTTCCCTCTCTGAAAATAAATAAATAAATTTTTTAAAAAAATGGTACAAGGGTAAATTTTAAGGTTTTTTTTTTTACCACAATTAAAAAATAATACTAGAAAAGGAACTAAAGCGAGGCTTATGAGAGACCTGGAGGTGAATTCATCCAAACTCTGAAGCCCCTTCCTGGGTCTACAGCTCAGACCACAGACACTGAAAACAAACAAACAAACAAACAAACAAACAAACCCCACCCAGAACATCAAGAACTCTTCTTGCCCAGCCTAACGAGGATAAGACATTGAAATGTGATGTCTTTGAAGCTGATCTTGATGGAGGGTGAGATTTTAACTTCAGGCTTTGACTTCTTGTTTTAACTCCTTTGGGCCTTCCCCTGTAAGGGGGTTTCACTTCAGAGTCGGGACTCCCCGGCAATCTGATATTCCGAAGGGGGTTAAGTCCAAGGGCAGAACGTCTTCTTCTCAGGGTGACCGTATGATTCCCTGGGCTTCACTGCCCAGCCTCTGACAGGTTTTGTCGATCAGCGAGGCCAGAAATCATCTGATTTGGAAAATGCGAGAGGACCTACGTTTTTCTTCTGGACTACAGGGAGGCCTTGAAGAACATAATGTACCGTACTGACCCGTCTTAGAAATTCCACTGCTTCTATGCTCGTAAGCCACGTTCTCCAGCCTAGCTTTTGTCAGTAATGAAACAGATATTTTGAGCTCAAAAAAATAAATAAGACTTTAAAAAAAAAACCTAAAGCCACGTCCACGTTCGAATTGTGCCTTGCCTGCGCATGGACACCACCACGAGTTCTGCCGTAGGCTTTCACGCTCAGCGTGCGGTCTGAGCTCCCTGGCAGTCCGGGGGCGGGGGGTGGGGTGACGTAAACCCCTGTGTGAGCTGCTCCAGAATGACAACCCCACGTCTCCCTAAGTGCATGACTCCCGTCAGTGAGGTTTGATAAAACTAAGGGACGCGCCCAGGTTAAAGGCGATGGGCTAGAATTAGAACTCAAGGCTTTTGGCTTCTGGCCACAGCTGCTAAAGCCATCGACCTGGCCAATAAGTTGGCAAGGATTAATTCAGGCCCTGGCTGGGTAGCTCAGCCGGTTAGAGCGTCGTCCCGCTGGGCCAAGGGTGTGGGTTTGATCCCCGGGCAGGGCACATACGAGCAGCAACCAGTGAATACATAAATAGTGGAATAGCTCATCGATGTCTCTCTCTTTCTCAAATCAATAAATAAAAACTTTCAAAAAAGCGTTCATTCAAAGAGCGGCACCATCCTCCACTAGAAACTGGTTCAGTCCAACAATCTTGTTTTGAAGCCTTCAGTTATGACTCCGTGGGGGGAACTTTGAGGCTGGCGTGTGTTCGCCGCGCTGTGTGCACGGCTCACCTGGGAACCGTGTTTCACGTGGGTGTGTCTGTGTCCAACGCCCAGCCGTCCTGGAGCGGGTCTGCAGCGAGACCCAAGGGTTCCCATGTTTTATAAGGACCCAGCCGTTCTAAACAAATGCTCCCCTGATTTTCCGTACATCAAGTTCTCACACACACATTCTTACCTCAATGTAGTGTTGACATTCTCTTTAGTGATGTGGAAATACCGGCGTGACTAATCCTGGCTTTTTTAAAGAAAAACAGAGCTCGCTCGAGTACATCTTGGTTAAACCTGGGCGTGCCAATTTCGGGTGAGGGGTTCACACTGATCCAGACTCCTGTCCCTTACCCCTCGGGGGTCCTCGGGACCCCCTTTCGGGGCCCAAGCAACGGAGCCAACTGCCCCATCATTAGCTAATCCTGAATCGATGAGCCAGGAAGAGGCCAGGCTCGGGGCTTAACAGCTGTGTACAAATTTGCACCAAATGCCTGTGTGTGGGGGGGGAGGGGTGGGGGTGGATACATGAGAAGGGATGCTTTGTAAGAATATCTGCTCCTTTAAAAAATCAATCAGCATCTTTTCACGAATCCACCAATGAGAGGCTCAAAGCACAGTCTTAGCGACGTGAAGAACGTGAGAGCCAGTGGCGTGGTGTTTTGCGTGCTGTTTTATTTTTGAGACAAGGTCAGGATTTGGAAAGCCGGGGAGTGATGACCTCGCTCTCGAAGAGCCCGGGGAGATGCATCGTGCCAACTGGTTCTTCTCTCTCCCCACCGCCCGGCCAGGCTTCAGAGGAAACTCTCCCTGTGTGAACGGGAAAAGATGGATTTCAGGCTTCCTTGAGAGCTTTAAAACCTCCAATCCTTCTCGAAAATAACCTGTCTCTCAGGCATCTTCGGGCCCAAAGGATTATAAAGCTACTTACTCCTGGGGCAGTGGAATGGCCGCATGAGTAACTAGGATTCCTTTGGTTTCTGCCTAGAGGGATGTCATCAATCTGGAAGTATCTGCTCTGGTTTGTGACGAAGCAAAACTGTACAATATTAAATCAGGTGCTGTTATAAACATATGAAACGGCACGTTTTTTTTCTCCTTGGGGCACTGTGGCAGGAAGTTGCTGGGAATGTAAAAAAAAAAATGTTTTTATAGCCTTGGACACCAAGTCAGGGTGTAGCTCGGTTTTCTTCTTTCTGAGCGTGGGTGCTAAATGAAAGTTCTTCTGTCGAGCTCGGGGGCTCCCAGTGAGTGAGCAAGGCCGCGCAGAGGTGAACTTGGCCCTTCGCAGCCTGTGCTGTGGGGGAAGCTGGAGACTGCGCCGTGTGTGTGTCTGCCGGGTGGAGGGTGTGAGCGGGGTCCTAGCGCCCTGGGATGTTGGGGCTGGAGGAAATCTTGGACACGAGCTAGGTCAGCAACTCCCTTATCACCCGGGTCAGGCCGGTGGTCCCGGGTGATGACACCCCTGACACTGGGGAAAGCTTCATGCTTCATGCTTTCCCCTGGTGAGCTGTCTGTCACCCTGGCCCACAGTTCCCCCCCGAGTGGTGGTGATGCCACCCTGTGGTGCAGGGATGAGAAAGGAGCAACAGAGAGGCTGTCACATACGGAGTGCTAAAAGGTGATTACATTCTCCCTTGTGTTGGCGCGGGTGGGTGATTATTTTCTGTATGGTTTACACAGAATTAACTCTTATAATTAAGGAAAGAAGGTGATAGTTTAGATCATAGCCTCGGAATGCTTGCGGGTGTGACGATCACCCTTCGGAAAGGTGGTCGAGTTCTGCGGGTTGGGTGAAGCCCCACTGTCCCACATGGCAGCTCGTAGCCACGGGTGTGGGGGGTGGTGGCGGCGCTGAAACGTGGCTGGTCCGGAGCGAGATACGCTGTGTGTGTGAAACACACCCCCGATCTCAAAGACTCGCACAATTATTTTGCTCACGATGACATGCTGAAATGATACCCATTTAAATAAATTGGGTTAAAGGAGTTATTAGGATTCATTTCATCTGTTCCTTTTTATCTTTCGAACGTGCGTATGGGCAGGTCTACAATTGCAGCGTGGGTGTTGTGTAGGGGGAGGAGCTGAGCCGCCCTCTTGCCCAGGGTGGAAAAGGCCCTCGGCCCCGACAGCACACAGGTGGCCAAGGCATCGTCACCTAGCAGGTGGCATCGAAGCGTGGGTATGAGGACGGAGACCGACTGCTCTGTGCCGTGTCCTTCCGCGGTGACAAAAATACCCTGGGTCTGGACGGCGGCGGTGGTAGTCGCGCAATATTGCGAATGCACTACCTGTCGCTACTGGCACATTTCATGTCACGTGCGTGTAACCGCAATAAGGAAACAGACGTGGCACCTGTGGCCCACGGGGCACTTCTGCTGCGCGATGCCTGTTTGGAGCAGAGAAGGCGAGGGTGTGGCAGGGAGCAGGCGGGATGCGTTGCTCTCCCTCTTTGGGCAAAATGTCAGCATGGGGTTCAGTTTCCCGGAAACCTGGCGGCCCCCCTGGAGGCCTTACCTTTGTGGGGGCCCCATGGCCTCACAGTGCCCCTCTTCTTTGTCTCATTCCCTGCCCCCGCACCCCCCCCACCCCGCACCTTGGCATCCTGCCCGCTGCTGAGTTCCTCACAAAGGTAACCCCTTCCCCCAAATTCCTCACAGCGCACGTGGTGCTAAGGAGGCAGGGGTCCGGGCGGGTGGAAATAAAACAGCACCCCCAGGTCAGCCTCAGCACACCGCCCGCCCCTCAGATCCAGTCGGAGAAGAAAAACTAAAGTCTCCTCCGCGCCTCGGTGGAATCTGGCTCCTTCAGTGCAAACCCCAGGAGGCAAAATCGGTCTCGGGTGAGGATGGGGTGGGGACAGTGGCTGCGGGGGGCTGGGCTGGGGGGGAGGGGGCAGTGGCCGGGTTGGGACCCGAGAAAGGGCTTCCAGCCCTGGCTGCGGGGGCTCAGTTGGCTGGAGCGTCGTCCCAGAACCCGGCAGTTTGTGGGTTCAACTCCCGGTCGGGGCACAGCCTAGGCTGCGGGTTCGATCTTGGCTGGGGCGCATGCGAGAAGGCAGCAGATGGATGTTTCTGGGTTTCTGTCCTCTCTCTGGAATCGATGACTATATCCTCAGGGGAGGGTTTTTTTGTTGTTGTTGTTGTTGTTTTTTTAAAGAAGAAGAAAGGGCTCTGGCGGCGGGAGATGTCCCGTTACTGGTCTGCGCCGAAGACCCCCGTGAGTCCACGTTGTGAAAGTTCACTGAGCTGGCGCCTTGCGTGCTTTTCCGAACGCGCCACAGCTACGTGTCTAGTGCTGCCCCGACTGTGCTGCGGCGCCGGAATGCGTCGCGTTGGCTGCCCGAGCTGCGGGGATGGCCACCAGGGGGCGCCGGGCGCCCGGTCCCCTTCCTGTGGGACCTTGGTTGCCGAGGCCTGCCCAGGCCTGCCCAGGCCTCTGCGGGTCCCTCCCTGCAATCCTCAGACTAGAGAGTGGTGAGTGAGCGACCTGTCTTGGAAAATCAACCCTGGGACCTTGTCTCCCCTCTGTCCCCTTGGAGAAACCGCGCCCTTGAAAGACCAGAGGGGTTGCTTCCACACCAAGGGCTGTTGTGGGTCAGCTGTGGGTGCAAGCCAAACACCTAAGGACAGTCACCGTCTTGGGGAGTTCAGAGCTCTCCGCTTGCTGTCAGGAGACAACCTCAAGGAGAGGAGGGGCGGCTGGGGAGGGACTGGGCTCCGCAGTTATCTCCCGCGGAAACCCCGTGCGGTGGCGGATGCAGCGCCCGGCCAGGTCTGGGCAGCGATTGGGGGGAGCGGGGAGGGGCTGACACGCTCGTGTGGGAGGCTGGGAGGGGGAGCCGGAAAGTGGCCGCGAAACCAGAGGCAGGGCGCCTGAGGTCGGAGGAGCCCGAGAGGACGGACGCGGCGGAGGAAAAATAAATAAATGAGATAGGCCGTTTCGCTGGCTTCCTCCCTTGTTGCCCCTTTGTGTAGTGCTCAGCACTGAGGTACCCCCCCCTCCCGCCCCCGAGGTCGCCTCTTCTGGGGACAACAGCCTAAGGGCTGGGTTTGGAAACCAGGCCTGGCTCCTGGCTCCCGACCCTTGGCAGTGAACTTGCAGTGGTCGGCTTTCCCACAAGCCCCCACCTCTCCCCGGTGCCAAGAGTCCATGTACACGCGCAGCACCACCGCACACGGCAGAGGCCAAACGTTGGGGTCACTGTCGGGTCACAGGTCAAGAGAACTTAGTAAGGGTTGTCGGCCTGTGGAAGGATCCACGTGGATGAGACTGTGATGAGACTGGACCCATGCAAGTGTCCCGCCAGGGGGCAGTGCTCCTGGTTCCAGAGCCATGCCAGCCAGTTCCCTCGGGGGAGAGGTAAGACCTCAGAGCTGGGCGAGGGGGTGCAGGGGGGTGGGTGGAGGGGAAAGCAGCCCCTCTGTTCCCAGCTCTGGCTGTGTGACCGGGGGCGGGATTCCTAACCTTCCTGGGCCTCCTCCCAGACACGCGTGTAACAGGGATGACGATGACAGCGCCGCATGGACCCTACGGTGATGGCGGTGCCCCAGGTACAGGTGTCGCTCGGCAGGTACGGGTGATAGAACCGGGGGCCACTCTCGCTTCTCAAGGCATTTGCGGGGCTAATGGCCCATGCAAAGCAAACGCCGAACGGAATTTTCACTCCTCGCCTTGTTTCGTAAACGCACAAATCCTCTTCCATGTCTCAAGGTTACCGAACTCAGGTCAACGGAGGTCTTCCCCAAAAGCAAAGGCGTGATGGTTCCGTCATAAGGTATATAAATGTTGCAGCACTAGGTGGTACACCTGAAACTAACATAATGTGGTATGCCAACTGGAGTTTAATTTAAACAATTTAAATGAAAAAAAAAATAACAAAGGTAGCCCTGGCCGGGTGGCTGCATTGGCTGGGGGCATCATCCCATACACCAGAAGGTTGCAGGTTTGATTCCCAGTCAGGACACATACCCGAGGCAGCTGATTGAGTCTCTCTGTCACAGCAATGTCTCTCTCTGTCTCTCTGTCTCTCAAATCCATACCTTTGTTCTCGGGCAAGGATAAACAAAAAAGCATGATGCAGACTTTCAGAAAGCGGGGGATGCCTGTGTTTGCAGAGTGACGCGTGCTACAATGCAGAAGTGCCGGGTGTCAGAGTGACATTTCACCCGGGCCCTGAAGGGTGACGCCCCGGCCCGGGGAAGGGGGTGCTGGTGGCCGGGGTCGGAGGTGGGGAAAGCCTTGCCACAGAGGGAGCACACACCCGTTCCTACTCCCACCCCGGCCCAATCCTACTGGCCCCAGAGCCCTCTTCCTCCGGAAGGACGCAGGTGGGGTTTCTCGACTGCACACAGAGAGGCCACGCTTGCTGCGAAACCGCCCCCATGTGTGTGTTTGTGTATTGTGCTCGGAACCTTTGCCCATTCCCACTGCCCACCCCCTCCGCACGCCTGACGTGACCGGCCAAAAGAGAAACCCTAAGAGAAAAACACACTCGCAGCGTTTATTGTACTTACGATGACTCAGATCTGAAGACTGGAGTGTAATGGAGGGTTTCCTAACAGTCCTTAGGGACTTGAGGAGCTTTTTTTCCCACCAGCCATGAAGGAGGATTATAAAAACACATCTCTTTCTTAGAAAAATAAAAGAACCCCTCTGACCTCAAAGTTCTGATTATTCTAAAAGCTGGGCGCGTGTTCCAAATGTCCCCGTTGTCTCCTCACACCTGCCTTTTCTCCCGCATTCTCCTTATTTCTCTGCTGTAGTAATGAGCAACAGAGAGAAGCGGTTGACCTTGCTCCTGACCTTGCTATGTGATTTCCGCCGGGGCCCTTCCCCTCTCTGAGCCTCAGTTTCTCCACCTGGGAAGGGCGGGGATGAACCTCAGGGATCAGGTTACATTCCTTGGTTCTCCTGGGAGGACCACAGCAAACGGGCACTTCACCCCGCACTCCCGAGTCTGTCGACTGAAACTCTCCTTCCTCAGGCGACAAGGCCTTCCTCGTCCTCAGCGATCACCTTGGTGAAGCCAATCGAGGTATCCATAAGGGTCTCTTCTCCCCCAGGCCAGCCTCCCTTTCTACCCTACCCCTCTCCCCACCTCATTCACCGCACTGCACTTCTAGGGGCTTTTGAACTCCAGAGATCCTTCCCCAGTTTTCCCGGGTCCACCTGCAGCTCCCCACGCATCTCCACTCCTCCTACGAACGTCCAGACCGAGGATTCAGGGCCTCCAGGGCCTGAGTCTGTCGGGAAGAAGTCTCGAAGAGGTGCCCAGGCCCACGCGGTGTGACAGGGAGGGACACGGCCACCGCGGGGCTTGTGCTCAGTCCCTGGGTAGTGCTGGAGAGGACAGAAATCCAGCATAACGACGTTTTGCTGAGCTTGCCCTACTAGTTCTGCTTCTGGGAATGGACAGCAGGAAGTCCCTTTATCATTTCCCTCGATTTACACTTCCTCGCCACCTGCTGGATTCCCTCTTCACTCCCGGAGTCCGCAATGTGCTCTCAGCTTTCTTGGATTAACTGGATCTGCTAAATTGCCCTGCGTACTGTCCCGGGTGGTGTGTAGCATCCACTTGAACTTGGCACTCGTTGCCCGCCCCTCGCGGGGGGCCCTTGGGACTGTCCTTCTCAGTAGCGCCTGGTGGACTCCGCGGGACCTTTAGGAGAACGCAGGCCGTTTCCACTGCGCTCACCCCGGCCCCAGTGCTCAGATCCATCGAACCGACGGAGGAGCACAGATGAGCTCCCGTGAAGTCCGGAATGATCTCCCGGGGACATCCGGCCCCCGGGGTTCCGCTAGGCCTGCAGCGAGGTCTCATCAGTGCTGCTGTACACACCACGTAAAGAAAAAGGAATTTAGACAAATCTTAGCCCAGATGACTCTTTCTTTTTGTCGGGTGTCAGCTGCTCCGGATGCAACTAATGAGACCTATGTTTTCCCACAGACAGTCTAGGCTGCAAAACACACGGTTTGTATTTTTTTTGGGGGGGGGTGGGAGGGGAGGGAAGAAAAAATAATAAAAATAAGACATTGTGTGAGCTTTGAAGTGCCCGGGGCACCATGGCGGGCGCCTTTGTTGAACAGCGGATTTTCCTCCGGCCACTCGGCCAGATCCTTATCAGACACCTCGGAGCGGGGGACAATGCACATGCCCCAGCGGCCACAGAAGAGCAGATGACGAAT